GATATCGGATGGAGCGTAAAACAACGGCAACGTCATAATATGGTGTGAGGAGTGATTTGGTGTGTTTTAAGTGAAATCCAATTGTTAAAATGATGCAATATGCCAAACACTCCAATTAAGGAACAAACTTCGTACGAACATGAATTGTCCAATTTCTTGGTTCAATCAAGATCAGATTGAGCCCAAAACTTGGGCAACCTTAAAAAATGGCGGGAGGAGTCATTCGGTGAGTTTTGAGTGAAACCCAATTGCCAAAACTATGCAATACACCAACCACTCCATTTACGGAACGAACTTCGTACAAATTGGAATTGTCCAATTTCTTGGTCCAATCGAGATGAGATTGTGCCCAAAACGTGGACAACATTATAATATGGTGGTATGAGCCATTCAGTGAGTTTTGAGTGAAACCAAATTGCCAAAACTATGCAATACACCAACCACTCCATTTACGGATTGAACTTCATACGAACTTGACTTGTCCAATTTCTTGGTTCAATCGATATCGAATTGAGCCCAAAACTTGGTCAACATCAAAATATGGTGGGAGGAGTCATTTGGTGAGTTTTGAGTGAAATCCAGTAGCTAAAACTATGCTATAAATCAACCACTCCATTTACGGAACGAACTTACTACAAACTTGAATTGTCCAATTTCTTGGTTCAATCAAGATCGGATTAAGCCCAAAACTCAGTCCACGTCATAATATGGTGGGAGGAGTCATTTGGTGAGTTTTGAGTGAAACCCAATTCACAAAAGTATGCAATAAACCAACCACTCCATTTACGAAACAAACTTCGTACGAACTTGAATTGTCCAATTTCTTGGTTCAATCGAGATCGGATTGAGCCCAAAACTCAGTCCACATCATAATATGGTAGGAGGAATAATTTGGTGAGTTTTGAGTGAAACCCAATTTACAAAACTATGCAATACACCAACCACTCCATTTACGGAACGAACTTTGTACAAATTGGAATTGTCCAATTTCTTGGTCCAATCGAGATGAGATTGTGCCCAAAACGTGGACAACATTATAATATGGTGGTAGGAGCCATTCAGTGAGTTTTGAGTGAAACCAAATTGCCAAAACTATGCAATACACCAACCACTCCATTTACGGAACGAACTTCATACGAACTTGAATTGTCCAATTTCTTGGTTCAATCGATATCGAATTGAGCCCAAAACTTGGTCAACATCAGAATATGGTGGGAGGAGTCATTTGGTGAGTTTTGAGTGAAATCCAGTAGCTAAAACTATGCTATAAACCAACCACTCCATTTACGGAACGAACTTACTACAAACTTGAATTGTCCAATTTCTTGGTTCAATCAAGATCGGATTAAGCCCAAAACTCGGTCCACATCATAATATGGTGGGAGGAGTCATTTGGTGAGTTTTGAGTGAAACCCAATTCACAAAAGTATGCAATACACCAACCACTCCATTTGCGAAACGAACTTCGTACGAACATGAATTGTCCAATTTTATGGTTCAATCGAGATCCGATTGAGCCCAAAGCTTGGTAAACATCATAATATGGTGGGAGGAGTCCTTTAGTGAGTTTTGAGTGAAATCCAATGGCTAAAACAATGCAATACACTAACCACTCTGTTTACATAATGAACTTGGTACGAACTTGAATTGTCCAATTTCTTGGTCCAATTGAGATCAGATGGAGCCCAAAACTTGGGCACTATTATAGTATGGTGGGCGGAGTCATTCATTGAGTTTTGAGTGAATCCCAATTTCCCAAACTATGCAATACACCAACCACTCCATATACGGAACGAACTTCGTACATACTTGAAGTGTCCAATTTCTTGGTTCAATCGATATCGGATTGAGCCCAAAACTTTTGTAACCTTATAATATGGTGGGAGGAGTCATTCGGTGAGTTTTGAGTGAAATCCAATGGTTAAAACTGTGCAATGCACCAACCACTCCATTTACGGAACAAACTTCGTACGTACTTGAATTGTCCAATTTCTTGGTTCAATCGATATCGGATTGTGCCCAAAACTTGGTCAACATCACAATATGGTTGGAGGAGTCATTTGGTGAGTTTTGAGTGATATCCAATGGCTAAAACTATGCAATACACCAACCACTCCGTTTACATAACAAACTTCGTACGAACTTGAATTGACCAATTTATTTGGCCAATCGATATCGAATTGAGCCCAAAATGAGGGCAACGTCATAATATTGTGGGGGGAGTCATTTCGTGAGTTTTAAGTGAAATTCAACTACTAAAACTTGGCAATACACCAACCACTCCATTTACGAAACCAACATCATACGTACTTGAATTGTCCAATTTCTAGGTTCAATCGATATCGGATTGAGCCCAAAACTTGGTGGACATGATAATATGGTGGCAGGAGTCATTTGGTGAGTTTTGAGTGAAATCCAATGGCTAAAACTACGCAATACACCAACCACTCCATTTTTGGAACAAACTTAGTACGAACTTGAATTGTTCAATGTCTTTGGCCAATTGATATCGGATGGAGCGTAAAACTAGGGCATTGTCATAATATGGTGTGAGGAGTGATTTGGTGTGTTTTGAGTGAAATCCAATTGTTAAAATGATGCAATATGCCAACCACTCCAATTACGGAACGAACTTTGTACGAACTTGAATTGTCCAATTTCTTGGTCCAATCGAGATCGAATTGAGCCCGAAACTTGGGCAACCTTAAAATATGGTGGGAGGAGTCATTCGATTAGTTTTGAGTGAAACCTAATTGCCAAAATTATGCAATGCACCAACCACTCTATTCACAGAACGAACTTAGTACGAACTTCAATTGTCCAATTTCTTGGTTTGATCGAGATCAAATTGAGCCCAAAACTTGGTCAACGTTTTGAGTGAATTACAATGGCTGAAACTATGCAATACACCAACCATCCATTTACGAAACGAACTTCGTACGAACTTGAATTATGCAATTTCATTGGCCAATCACTACTACAAAAAGTGAAAAAGTCGACCAGAAAAAAAACGACGGTTTAACGTCAAACTGTCATTGTGTTTGAAAAGACGACGGTTTTATAAAATCGTCATGTAAGAATAACTTAAACACCTAAAAAATGGGGAATTCAATGGTTGTTTTTAAAACACAACACACCTATTTTAAAAAGCGACGTCTTATTGAAAAATGTTTTCCCCAGAGTAAACTCGGAGCCCACAAACAACGGCAGATGGTATGAATCAACCAACGTAGAAAGTAAAGACGACGGTTTAAATAAACCGCCGTCGTTTTTTCTCCGCAATAACCACTACCAAGTTCTTGTGTCCGGCATCACATAATTTCAAAAGAATCCACAGCGGTATATTACAAAATACCATCGTCATAAATAGATGTACAACGACGTAAAATATAAATCTATCGACTTATTTCATGTTCCATACTACGACGGTATCTTTAACTCTAACCACGTTGGTTTGTTCAATTAACGACGTGTAATAAAATTTACCACGTCATGAAGTTAAAAGTACCGTCGTATTTATTTATTTTATACGTCTACCCTTACACCTAAACGGTTGTCTTAATTACATTATTTTTTACTATTTATTTCTTGGATTTTGGTATCCTACAACGGTAGACAAACTTAATGACAAGAATTGAGAATAACCATGATGGTTTATATAGAAAACCGCCAACAGAATAGATTTTTCTGAGATCCAAGATATACGTCGTGAAGTTAAAATTACCGTCGTATTTATTCACTTTATACGTCCGACCTTATATCTAAACCGTTGTCTTAATTGTAATTTTTTTTTAATTTTTATTTCTTGAATTTTGTTATCCTACGTTTGTAGATCAACTTAATGTCAAGAATTGAGAATAACCACTCCAGTTTATATAAAAAACAATCGACAGAATCAGATCTGAGATCCCAAGAGTTACGAAATCTTACCAGATGGAACTCTGTTCCTCATCATAATCGGACCACAAAAAGACACAGATTTGCCTCTAAAATTTGACGACAACAGCCACAGATTTGCATTTAGAAATGCAATTTTTTGGAAGTTGATGATGTGTGTGTGTCTTTCAGATACACAAACGCACACACACATCAACATCCAAGCAATTGCCTCTAAAATTTGATGACGGCAGCCACAGATTTGCATTCAGAGAGACAATATTTTAGAGATTGATGATGTATGTGTATTTGTGTCTCAATTGAGACACAAATACACATACATCAACATCCCAAACAATTGCCTCCTAAGAGGTGAGACAGATGGCAAGAAGAAGTTGGAACCCTAATTGAAAACTGAAACTAAAAGAAATCGTGGAAAAAAACTCAATTTATAAAAAAAATTTCATATCCACGTTGGTTACATTAACACTAACGCCGTTTAATAAAGGACTCAACGTCGGTTCTTAAAAAAAGAAAGACGTATTAAACATAAAGACAACGTCGGTTATTAAATTCAAGCCAACGAGGTTTTTGAAAACCATGTCGGTTTAATATAAAAAAACGACGTGGTAACTTCTAATATTACTTATTTAAAAGTGAACTTTTGACGTGTAGTGCCCAACTAACCACGTCGTTTTCGAAATACAAAAAGTCAAAAGGCTTTTTACTAACTACGTCAGTTAATATTATTTTAATGTCGTCGTAACTACATACTAGGGTGGTTTCTATGACCACCGTCGTTGTCTTTATCTTGGGACACTATATACACTTTTTGGTCACTCGACCTAAACTTTTACGTTCTCTCTAAAATTTTCAATTTTCTCTCAGTTTCCCCCTCATTTCTGAAAAGCTGCATTTCCGATTCTCAGTTTCCCTCTCAACTTCTACGTTCTTCCTTGTCTTCGTCTCCAAAATTTGATTCCGAAGGAAACTTTCTTAGCAAGCCGTCGTTGTTTTACGTCTGTTTGAAATCTCAAAGTAAGGATTCTCAGGCATCCAAAGGTCAAGGCAAGGAGTTTGTAGTTTCAAAGGCACAATCTCTTCCAAGCAATCCCCTAAAGAAGATGAAATTTACTTCATCTTCCAAGAAAGACCCAAGCTCTGCGACATTTGATGAAGTGACGAAATCTACTTGCGGTATCAACACAATGAGCCGTGTTGTGAAGAGGAAAATCCAGAATATTAAGCCTATGGTTGAGTACAATAAAAGTGGCAGACCACATGGCAAGGCTGCTATTGAGATGCAGAGTTACATTGGTGTTTTGGCACACACCAAAGTCCTTCTTGTGGACAAGAAATGGACTCAATTGCCCAAGGACCTGAAGGAGCAGATTTGGGAAGCTGTTCAAATGGCTTATGTTGTTGGGGAAGGGGGCAAGTAGATGGTGCTATCGTCTACCGCCAAAAAATGGAAGGATTTTGAGTCTACCTTAACTAGGCAGTTTGTCCTTCCATTCGCAAATGAGAAGGAGAAGTTAAAAGAGGCCCCCCAGCTTTATAACTTCATAGAGAAATCTGAATGGGATGCCTTTGTAGCTTCAAGGTTATCCCCAGATTTTGAGGCTGTGCATTCTGAGCAGTCACAGAGAAGGGAGAAATATGAGTACAACCATAGGTTGTCTCGAAAAGGGTACATTGGTTTGGAGGATCAATTGGAAGAAACTATGCCCAGTGAAGAAATCGATCAATCTCTACTATGGAAGAAGGCAAAAGAAGATAAACAGGGAAACATCTCTGATCTAAAGGTTGCAGAGAAGGCAAAATTAATCGTAAGTTTCATTGACTCTATTCTAAACTTGTAAAACAGAGGTTTTATTTTTCATTCAGACGTCGGTCTTTTTATCAACTGTCGTTAGACATGAAACCCCACGACGGTTTTTAATCATTGCCTTTTAAAAAATATATAACGTCAGTATTTTTATAAAACCGATGTCTTCATTGAATTACAACGATGGTTTTTTGTGTCTATATAAGGTTTTTTAAATTAAATTTTGAACTTTCTTCATATTCACACGCACACACACTCTCTCTCCCTCTCTATTTCTCTACAATTGGTTTGTACACTATTTCTGGATCAGTGAATATTTTGGTTAAGTGTTTTTATCTATAATGTCAAATAAACGACGGTTATTTCATTGACTGACGTTTGAATGTATACAAAACGACGGTAGTTTTGGGACGACATATTAAATTATTTTCTGCGTCTATTTTTAAAATAAACCGTTGTTATAACCTCTTTACCACGTCGGTTAATATTTTTATTAATTTATTTATTTGATCAGTTTTACTATCTGTTCACTCACTGACATTCTCTCTCTTACTTTTAGGATGATTTGAAAAAACAAGTCTCCGAGGGCACTCTAACTGTCTCTGGGAGCAACGATGTTTTGACCATGGCTTTGGGAACCCCTGAGCATGGTGGAAGGGTCAGAGGTGTTGGAGCTGGGGTTTCCCTAACTCAATTCTTCAATTTGCCGAGATAGCAAAGTGTAAAATTTGCTGACAAATTGAAGGAAAGTGTTATGGCAGCAGTGAGAGAGGAAACCAAAAAGATGGCGGCCAGGGCAAAGGAAAGTGTTATGGAGGCAGTCAAAGCAGAGAGGGAAATTGTGTTGAAACAATTCAGTCAACTAATTCCCAATTTTGATCCCAACATGCTCAGTAAAATTCCAACTACACCAACTACACCAATTCCTCCAATTCCTCCAATTCCTCAAGAGCAAAGTCCAAAAATTCCAATGTCTGACAAAGCAAGCTACTCTAATGTGAGAGCCCCTGAATTGGATGAAGACAATCCCACGAATGATGCTGATGTTGATGCTGCTGAAAACCGTCAAGATCAAACAGTAAAATCTCTGACATTTGCTTTTTCTGAATTTTAAATTTTAAATAGACGTCAGTGTTTATTTTAAAACCCGTCATCTAGTTTAACCTAGACGACCTTTCTATTGTCTAGCGACGTTATAACTTTTACACAACGACTGTTATGTATTGACATGTCAGCTCCTCTGTTAGCCCTATGCCAATATGTCGAGACCAAGTTGAAGCCTGCTAACGAGACCATTACAGTTCACATGCCTAAGGAAATGTTTGGCACTGATCATGATACCTGGCTGTTGAGTGAAGACATTTTACAGTTTGCTTCCATGGTTGAGATTGGAGCCACAGTGATTGCAGTATACATGAGGTAATTCTAGAAATCCAATTTTGTTTTTTTTTTACATTTTCTTTCTTTTAAATTAAAATCTCATTTAATTGAATTTCATATATTTAATTAGGTACCTATTTGACTATTTAAAAATGGCAAATATGGTAAAACTTGTTGGCCTCGTGGACCCTGGACAAGTCAGCTCTCAATCTGGAACGTTATCTCACTGCTCAAAACATCTCTCAGAAAGCCTGAAAAGGCAGATGGGGATCAATTTTACTTGGTGCCTTACAATCCAAGGTTAGCCCCCTTCTATACTTAATTGGTTCCTTGTAATATATTTTTTTTGTAGTATATTTAATATATATAATTTTGTGTAGGGGTCATTGGGTGTTAGCAATTGTGAGACCAGCTAAGGAGACTGTCTATTACATGAATTCATTGCCAAACTGCTCTGTTGACGAGGACATGAGAAATATAGTGAATACGTAAGTTTATTAATGAAAACCTATGATTTTTTATATCTACATTTGATTGATACGACGACTTTTTCCAATACCGACGTTGTAGTGAAAACACAAAGCCGGTATATTATAACCGACGTTTTAAATCATTTACAACGTCAGTATTTTCTTGAAACCGTTGTCTCAATTGAAATACCACGTCAATTCTGTTTTTAATTTTAGGACTTTTTAATTTTTTCTGTTAAACTTTCATTTAAAATTAACTTTGGTTATATGTCGTTTTTCTTCGTCACCGATGTTAGAATGAAACACAACGAGGGTTCTTATTTTCCAACGTTGTATAAAAACTACAACGTCATTTGTTTTAAAAAAACCCGTCGTCTTCAATTATTTACCACGACGGTTAATAATAATTTTGATGCTGATTTTTAGTTTTGTCATTAACACTTTTTGTTTTCTTGAAACAGTTCAATCAAAATGTATAACTCTCACACAAGGAAACAATCATCACGTAAATCACCCATATGGGAAAATCTACAAGGCACTCCTAGACAACTAACAAATGTAGAGTGTGGCTATTACGTGATGCGTTTCATGAGAGATATAATTCATGATCCAGCCCTAGCCTTTGAGAAGAAGGTAAAATTTAATATATAATTTCTTTATTTTAATACCACGACGTTTGCTTTCAAAACCGTCGTTTTATTACTTGTAACACATCGGTTTTTGTTCTTTATTTGCAGTTTGACAAGAAAAAGAAACCAGTTGTGTATACTCAAGAACATATTGACGAAGTCAGGCTGGAATGAGCAGAATTCGTGAACAAGCAATTACAAAACAATAATTGATAATATACATTTATTTAAAAATGTTTAGGTTTATTTTAATTTTTTGACAATGTATATAAACATATTTTAGTAATTATTTGAACATTCATCAAAAAAATCAAATGAAATATATTGTTGTTTCTATTTTTTTTTTCTATAAAATATAAATGTGTTATAACGAACTAAAATGAAAATTAATCATAAAAATGTAAATTAATTCCCAAAATCCGACGTCTCATTCACCTTTACACGTCTGTTATATATAAACCACTGCCTTCTTGTTATAGTGGGAAACAAAACATCTACGGCATTTCTCAAAAACGACATTTAAGGTTGATATACACGTTAGTTTCTTTAAAAAACTGAAATCTACGAAAAAATTAGTAGAGACATACAACGTCTGTTACAGGTTAAATGGTGACGTTGTATCCATAAACAACGTCGTCGTCAGAATAGTAATAGACGTTGTAAATAACTTAAACACGGCGGTTATTACATTGCGACGTTTAATGTGTACTAGGACGACGTTATGAGTTACTTAACGTCGTTGTAAACTGATGCAACGTCGGTTATGTACTTTTATATTCAATTTTTGTATGACTTTTATATTTTATTCCTAATATTCATAATAATTTCAAAAAAAATGCCATAAAATAAACTGACAACTACTATGCACTCATTGGAAGATTTTATCTCCCCTAAATCTTTAAAAAATTTAATGTTAAAATTATTTTTATTTGTATTTAATTACTAATATTCAAAAAATATTCATAAAAAATCTGAAAAATAAACCGACAAATTCTATGCACTCATTGAGACAATATCTATCCCCTACATGCCTGAAAATTTTAATTTTAGATTTCAAAATTAGAAGTGATAACAGAAGTAAAAATGATTTAGAGACAAAGTACAATAGTCATTATACTTTCCATTACATAACCCTAAGGTTTATGTGATCCATTCGTGGTCATAAAATTGAAAATTCTTTAATATAGATTTTAGCCTAATAATATAGAAGGCATTGTTGTAAGGAGTCCATAGCAATTTTTGGTTCATTTTTCTCATACTTGTGTATTCTTTTATAATTATTGTAAAATTTAGGGTTTAGGGTTTAGGGTTTAGGTTTTATTGAAACGATGCCGGTTTGCTCTCGCTCTTTTTGGTCAATACGCGCATTCGAATCCCAGGAAACACACACCAAAGCTAATTTTTTAATATTTTAGACGTCGGTTTATGTATGGGCAACTTCAAAACATAATACAATGTCGTAAAATGTAACATAACCGTCGTTGTAAATGTGAAATTAAACGACTACTGGGTTGTATTTACCTTCGTCTTTAAAAAACCCGGTCCTTTGAAATTTTTGACCGGGATCTAAAATTTTCCGAATTTCCATTTAACCCTAAAGTATTTCCTTCTCTCTCTTCAACATAAATTTGTCTTAAAGTTTTCGCTCTCTCTCAAAGCATTGGGTATATTCTCTAAGCTCTCTCAAGCATTTGATATTTTCTCTCAGCTCTCTCTCAATATTCTCTTATTATTAGTTTGTATATATTCTCTCAGCACTCTCTCAATATTCTCTTAGTTTGTATATTCTCTTAGATCTCTCTAAATATTCTGTTAGTTTGTATATTCTCTCAACTTTGGTTTCTTAATAAGGGTTCTTTTATATTTTGATGTTTGCATTATGTTAAGGGTTCTTTGAAATGGAATGGGGATGGAAGAATTAGGCATTGGTTTTTTGTAAACCACGACGACGGTTGTTTTCCAACAACCGTCGTCTAAATTTTTAGTATATGTCAGCTTTTTATTTACTACCGTTGTCGTTGTTCGTCGACCATAACCTAGCCATGTTCTTCAAAAAGAATACAAATATCTTGTTGTTTGCTTAAAGACGACAGTAAATAGACATACCGTCGTCATAATCTATGTTACGCGACAATTATTTTGTAAAAACCGTCGTCTGATTATTGTGCAATTTTTTTTTTCTATTTTTCCCACTTTGTTCTCTTCTCTGTCAATATAGTAGTGTTTCATTGCTGGTCTTTTCACTTTATTGTATGTATGATTTTATAGTGTTTGAGATGGATAAGTCATGGATGCATGAGGATAGAAGATCGAAGGCATATGAGTTAGGTGTGGAAGGATTTTTGAATTTTGCTGTAAAAAATCTTGTAAATACAACTCATATTCGTTGTCCATATGTTAAATGTGGGAATATTTGATTGTTTGGAGTTGGAATTATAAGGGAACACTTATACTTTAATGGAATTGACCAAAGTTATAAGATTTGGACATGGCACGGAGAACCTTGGGAATGGACTACTAATGCTGGTAGAAATGTGGAAGAGGATGAGCAATGTGGGTTCAATTTTGTTTCTGAAGAAGTAGGGATGGATGATAATGATTTAGGCAATGTTAGATTTGATCCTTATGAGTTTGCCAATGTGATTGGGGATGGAGATCAACCCTTGTACCGTGGTATCAGTAAGTACACGATGTTGTCGGCTATAATTTGAAAGCAAAACATGGGATGAGTGATCTTTGTTTTACAAAATTATTGATACTTCAAGGAGTTTTGCTTTCATAAGAAAATACACTACCTTCCTCTATGTACGAGGCCAAAAAGACATTGTCTGCTTTAGAGATGAGCTATGAGAAAATCCACGCATGTCCCAATGACTGCATCTTGTATAGGAAGGATTATGAAGATTCAACTAATTGTCCTACTTGTGGTGTCTCAAGGTGGAAGGAAGGCAAAGATTCAATCTTGAAAGAGGGTGTGCCAGCGAAGGTGGTGTGGTATTTTCCTCCAATTCCAAGGTTTAAAAGGATGAGCCGAGAAACTTGAGATTGGCTCTCTCATTTGATGGATTCAATCCCCACAGTTCTTTAAGTAGCAGATACAGTTGTTGGCCAATTATTTTAGTTACATATAATCTCCCACCATGGCTATGCATGAAATGGAAGTTTATGATGTTAACCTTATTGATTTTCGGTCCTAAACTGTAACAACCTGGTCCTTAATTAATATTTAATTATTAATCTATTCCAATAAAAGACCACTATACCCCTAGCATATTTTAATAATATAAAAGTTGACTTTTTTACCGGGAAGGAATTTTGGGATTTCAGTTATACCGTTGCGTCGAGCACAATGAAACGAGTTCGTAGACGTACAGTACACTCGATTCCGAGTTGTATTGAGGGAGATACGGTCAAAATACGTTCAGGGGCAAAAATGGTAATTTGCCAGGTAAGATGTTTTAAAACTAATCTCTCTTTCTCTCTCTCCTCTATGCACCCCACCCCCCCCCCCCCCCCCCCCCCCCCCCCCCCCTTCTTCTCTTTCTCCCTCCCCCTTCATCCAACCAACCGGGGGGCGCATCTTCAACCACAACACCACACACACACGGCCGGCCAAGGGACCGGTCAGGCTAGGACCGCCATCATCCCAACCCCTGGCAGCAGCTCAAACAGCCCGAAAACAGCCGGTTTTTTACAAAACTTTCGAGCTCTCGTTCTCCGTCGTCCGGCCACCAAATCGGACGAGTGAGGTATGGTTTTCTAGCTATTTTCCATGCTCTAGCTGCTGGTTGAGTAGGATTTCAGAGATTTCAAGCGTAGATCGTTAGATTTTTAAGTTAGGTTTCAGCAGACTTTCGGGTCACTGTTCCGGCCACTTCCGGCCAGTTTTTGGGGTAGGTCCAAGAGCAAAAGTGGCTCCAAATAGGGTGTTATACCTTGGGTAGGAGTCTTGAGCCGTGATTTAGAGTTTTTTCGGCGGAGTGTTATCGCTTTAGGCACCACGTGCCGTGGGCAGCAGGGTGGGGACCAGAGTCAGCCCTAGAATAATCTCCTAGTCCCCACTAGCGCGTAGGATATGGTGGATCTTAATTCAGATAACGTTTGAACCCCAAACGGACCTCGCCTAGTGGGTGATTCCCGGGTTCAGCAGGTTTGAATTGTTGGATCGTAATCGTGTTCCAGTATGTTGATCTAGGTCATTTCAGGATCGTATAGCATTTCACGGATCGTAAAATGAAGTCTCGGATACTCCAGAAATGTCAACCCTAGAGTCAGGTTTATAGTAAAACAAACCAGTTACAGATCAGGAACAGAGGAAAGAACTACGTGTGGCTTAATTCCTCAATAAGGGTACGTAGGCAGCCTACAGTTATTAGGCGCAGCCACGAGTTAGGGGCTCAGGGTTTATGTCACTGTTTTCAGGGTATTTTGGTCATTTACGACCCACGGTTACTAGGTGTCAGTTTTAAACAGGTTTCGACCCGCATTCCAAAGTGGAAATTGGGTCAGGTCGTTTCATAAACAGCCTAGAAATGATATAGACGTCTACAAAAGAGCCTTTGATTGATGATTTAAAATCTCTATGGGATTGGATTAAAGGAGTGTATGATGCACATATAGGAGAATACTTTACACTCAGAGTTGTATTATTGTGGACAGTTAATGATTTTCCTGCCTATGGGAACTTATCTCGTTGTGTTGTTAAAGGATATAAAGCTTGTCCAATATGCGGCGATGATACACCTAGTCACAGGTTGAAAAATGGCCACAAAATTTGTTACATTGGGCATAGAAAATGGTTACCAATCAATCATCCATATCGAAGGCAGCGTGCAGCTTTTAATGGGAAACCTAAATGTGGCACGCCTCCCGAGCCATTAAACAGAGAAGAAGTGTTTCACATTGTTGAAGATATTAATTACATATGGGGCTCGAAAAATGGGGGAAGTGTTGGTGAGAATGATGGTGACAGAGTTTGTTGGAAGAAGAAATCAAAATTCTTTGATCTCGAGTATTGGAAATACCTTTATGTGAGGCATGTCCTAGATGTTATGCATATAGAGAAGAATGTTTGCGATAGTATCATTGGTACATTGCTGGAGATCCCTGGAAAAAATAAAGATGGGATTGCTGCTTGGTTAGATTTATTGAACATGGGGGTCAAAACTGATTTGCAACCCGAGTATGGACAAAGACGTACTCGCTTGCCTCCAGGGCCTTGGAATTTGTCAAGAGCAGAGAAGAGAGCAGTTTGCAATTCTTTCTATGGTATGAAGGTCCCTGAAGGTTATTGTTCAAATATAAAAAGATCTTGTATCTTTAAAAGATTCAAGACTTCTTGGACTTAAATCTCATGATTGTCATACCTTGATGCAACAATTGCTTTCTATGGCAATTCGTTCTGTTTTAGAGAAGCCTGCAAGGTATGCAATAACTCGATTGTGCTTCTTCTTCAATGCCATATGTGCAAAGACGGTGGATGTTTCCAAGCTAGATAAGTTGGAAGAAGATGTAGTAGTTACTTTGTATTTGCTTGAGAAGTACTTTCCTCTTTCATTCTTTGATATCATGGTTCATCTAGTAGTACATCTTGTCAGAGAAGTTCGTCTATGTGGCCCAGTATATTTTAGATGGATGTATCCATTTGAAAGGTATATGAAAGTGCTAAAAGGTTATGTTCAGAACCGTACTCATCCGGAAGGTTGCATTGCTTAGCGGTATATAGCTAAAGAAGCTATAGAGTTTTGCATCAAGCATTTATCTGAAGTTAATACAGTTGGAGTGCCTTCAATCCAGAAGATGGGAGTTTCGAAGCCATTATCAGGTTGCACAGTAAACTTAGTTGATCAGGACTTGTTAAACCAGGCACATTTATATGTTTTGGAGAATACGGAGGAAGTCCTACCTTATATCGAGTACATATGACTTTTATTTTTCATATGGAGCCATTTTAAATATTATTATTCCTTATGTTTATCTTATATACAAGGAATCATAATGCTTGATTTTTTGGTGTCAATGTAGGGAACATATGACCCACATCAAGACCACTTATCCAAAATTTAGAAAGAGAACAAAGTGGCTGCAAGATAAGCACAATAGCACTTTCATTTAATGGCTCCACTTTAAGGTATATATATGTTATTGAATGACATGCATCAACTTTTAATTTTCTTCTATTCTATATGTTAGATTGAATTAAAGTATATATGATTATTTTGCAGGTTCAAAGTGAACTTAATGGGGAAGAGCATAATGGCGTATCAGAAAATTTGAGATGGCTAGCAGCTGGTCCAAGCATGGCAGTGCCATCATATAGGAGCTATCTTATTAATGATGTTAAATTTAACACCAAGGCACAAGATGATGTGTGAACTGTCCAAAATAGTGGAGTTTATTTACTTGCATGTACTATGCAAGTTGCTAGTGCCAAGGATAAAAACCCTATTGTCTCCAATATGAGTTTTTATGGTGTTATTCAAGAAATTTGGGACCTTGACTACCAAAAGTTTAGAATCCCAGTCTTGAGGTGTGATTGGATAGATAACACTTCGGGCCTTGTAGTCGACGAACTTGGATTTACCCTTGTAGATCTAAGTAAAATTGGACATAGGAATGACCAATTTGTTATGGCTTCTCATGTCTAACAAGTATTTTATGTTGATGACCCAATGCATCGTGGTTGGTCGATAGTATTATTAATGCCTAATAGAGAATATAATGATGTTATTGGTGATGATGTGCTAGGTGATACTAGAATTGAGTGTGAGCCATTTGCTAGAGGGATACCAAATGTTGACACATTTGATGACCTAGTGGGTGAGTTTGGGAATGAAAATATTAGAGATGGCTGTGAAGATGTATGGATTGATTGATTGTTGTAATGTATGACCTTAGTTATTCAGTTAATTGTATGACATTAATTAATAATTCTGTTCAACATTTTAATTCTTATCACATTTTCATTATGCAGGCTTTGGGCAAGACAAATCAAAAATTAAAAAAGCTGGGTTAAAGCTGTAAAGTACGACGGTTATGGATAAAAATTGGAAATACAAACATCTAAGATAAAAACAACGTTGGGTTTCAACAAGGGAACATACCGTAAAACAAAAAAATAGACATCTAAAAAAGAAATCAAGACGGCTTGCTTAAAATAAACCGTCGTCTAAACCCCAAATAAAGGCCGTTCAGTTCCATTAACTGTCGTGATAGATGTTCTGCACGTTTGCTAGTCTAAAACAACTGACGTCTCCGCGCATACATACGTCACGGCAGGTTAAACAAGCGACTTTTAAAAAGACAACCACGTCATTATGTAATAAGAACTGACGTGGTAAGTAATTACAATGTCAAGCAGATGGATCTCTAGACATAGTGAAGTAATTAACCACGTCCTTTATTTTACAAAAACAGACATTGAATCTATAATCCACGTCGGTTATGTTCCTATCCACGCCTTAAATACTATTTATAACATCAACCTTTGACATAAACCGACGTGGGGGAGAGTTTTGTACATCGATATTGAGTAATATTCTGTCATTTTAAATATTTTAGACCTCGGTTATTTAGAAAAAGTGATGTCTACCTCTGTTAAAGGGCCTTCTTTGTACTATTTAAATGACGATTCTCGAAAAAAATAGACGTGTCAACGAGTTAACACGTCGGTTTGTATTATAATTCACGACGTGGATAAATACATAAGCGTCGGTGATGCCTGGTGCAGGATGTGGTTATTTTATTTTACAGCGGTTATGGAAAGACAAATGACATGTAATACTCTTTAAACGTCTGGTTGTGTTTGTGTGTACATCGTTGTTTATTGTTCACTTTTCTTTGTTTTTTTTTTTTTTTTTTTTTTTTTTTTTTTTTTATGTAAATATAAATAACCACGACGGTTTCTAGCTTATCCCAATCTTTTTTCCTTCATTTAGAGATGTGGATAATTATCTGTACGTCGGTTCTTCTTTTGACATTGACATGTAACAGTGTTTAGACGTCTCGGTTTTCATAAAACCGACGTGTAATGTTGTCGGAGATTTCATTTTAGGCTAATTATATAGTAATTACACGCCGGTTAGTAATAAATATGGACGTTGAATTCCTTAACAACGTCGGTTATTAATTGTCATTGTTGATAGTGCAAAAGATGGCGGTCGATTTCACGATGGTTGGAAAACCTTCTACATGAGTGGTTTCCCGTCGTCTATTTTGATTTTTGTAGTAGTGAATCGAAATCGGATTGAGCCCAAAACTTGGGCAAGATTAGGATATGGTGGGAGGAGTCATTCGGTGAGTTTTGAGTGAAATCCAATTGGTAGAACTATGTAATACACCAACCACTCCACTTACAGAATGAACTTCGTACGAACTTGAATTGTCCAATTTCTTGGTTCAATCAATATCGCATTGAGCCCAAAACATGGGCAACATCATGATATGGTGAGAGGAGTGAATTGGTGAGTTTTGAGTGAAATCCAATCGCTAAAACTATGCAATACTTCGAACGAACTTTTATTGTATAATTTCTTGGTTCAATCGAGATTGGATTGAGCACGAAATTTGGGTAACATTATAATATGGTGGGAGGAGTCATTCGGTGAGTTTTGATGAAATCCAATCTCTAAAACCATGCAATACGCTAACCACTCCACTTACAGAACAAACTTCGTACGAACTTCAATTGTCCAATTTCTTTGGCCAATCGATAACGGATTGAGCCTAAAACATGGGCTACGTCATAATATGGTGGGAAGTATGAATTGGTGTATTTTACGTGAAATCTAATTGCAAAAACTTTACAATACACCAACCACCCCATTTACGGAACGAACTTCGTACAAACTTGAAGTGTCAAATTTCATTGGCCAATTGATATCGGATTGAGCCCAAAATTTGGTAAACATCATAATATGGTGGGAGGAGTAAAGTTTTGAGTGAAATTCAATTGCTAGAGCTATGCAATACGCCAACCACTCCATTTAAAGAACGAACTTCGAACGAACTTAAATTGTCCAATTCCTTGGTTCAATCGATATCGGATTGGGCCCAAAACTTGGGCAACATTATAATATGGTGGTAGGAGTCATTCAGTGAGTTTTGAGTGAAATCTAGTCGCTAAAACAATGCAAGACACCAACCACTCCATTAGCGGAATGAACTTCTTACGAGCTTGAAGCGTCCAATTTCATTGGCCAATCGTTATCGGATTGAGGCCAAACCTTAGTCAACATCATAATATGGTGGGAGGACTTATTTGGTGAGTTTTTAGTGAAATCCAATCACTAAAACTATACAATACACCAACCACTCCATTTGCGGAACGAACTTCATACGAACTTGAATTGTCAAATCTCTTTGGCCAGTCGATATCGGATTGAACCCAAACCTTGGTCAACATCATAATATGGTGGGTTGAGTCATTTGGTGAGTTTTGAGTGAAATCCAGTAGCCAAAACTAAGCAATAGACCAACCACTCCATTTACAGAACGAACTTCTTACAAACTTGAATGGTCCAATTTCTTTGGCCAATCGACATCAGATTGACCCCAAAACTTGGTCAACATCATAATATGGTGGGAGGAGTCATTTGGTGTGTTTTGAGTGAAATACAGTCACTAAAGCTATGCAACACACCAACTTCTCCATTTACAAAACGAACTTCGTACAAACATGAATTGTCCAATATCTTGGTTCAATCGATATCGGATTGAACCCAAAACTTGGTTAACATTATATTATGGTGGGAGGAATCATTCGGTGAGTTTTGAGTGAAATCCAATCGCCAAAACAATGCAATACACCAACCACTCCGTTTATAGAACAAACTGTGAGCAAACTTGAATTGTCCAATTTCTTTGTTCAATCGAGATCATAATGAGCCTCAAACTTGGTCTACAATATAATATGGCGGGAGGAGTCATTCAGTGAGTTTTGAGTGAAATCCAATTACTAAAACTATGCAATACACCAACCACTCCATTTACATAACAAACTTCGTACGAACTGGAATTGTCCAATTTCTTGGTTCAATTGATATCGGATTGAGCCCAAAACTTGGGTAACATTATACTGCGGCAGGAGGAGTCATTCGTTGAGTTTTAAGTGAAATCCAATCGCCAAAACTATGCAATACACCAACCACTCCATTTACAGAACGAACTTCATACGAATTTGAAGTGCTTAATTTCCTTAGCCAATCGATATTGAATTGAGCCCAAAACTTGGTCAACATCATAATATGGTGGGAGGAGTGATTTGGTGGTTTTGAGTGAAATTCAATTGTTAAAACTATGCAATACACCAAGCACTCCATTTATAAAACGAACTTTGTATGAAGTTGAATTGTCCAATTTTTTCTTCCAATCAAGATCAGATTGAGCCCAAAACTTGGAAAACATTATAATAAGGTAGGAGGAGTCATTTAGTGAGTTTTGAGTGAAATCCAAATGCCAAAACTATGCAATACACCAAACACTCCGTTTATGGATTGAACTTCGTTCGAACTTGAATTGTCCAATTTCTTGGTTCAATCGATATCAGATTGTGCCCAAAACTTGGGTAACATTATATTGCGGTAGGAGGAGTCATTCGTTGAGTTTTAAGGGAAATCCAATCGCCAAAATTATGCAATACACCAACCACTTACAGAACGAACTTCATACGAACTTGAAGTGCTTAATTTCCTTGGCCAATCGATATCAAATTGAGCCCAAAACTTGGTCAACATCATAATATGGTGGGAGAAGTTATTTAGTGAGTTTTGAGTGAAATCCAATCGCTAAAACTATGCAATACACCAAGCACTCCATTTACAAAACGAACTTCATATGAACTTGAATTGTCCAATTTTTTCGTCCAATCAAGATCAGATTGAGCCCTAAACTTGGAAAACGTTATAATATGGTGGGAGGACTCATTTGGTGAGCTTTGAGTGAAATCCAATCACTAAAACTATGCAATACACCAACCACTCCATTTACGGAACGAACTTCATATGAACTTGAATTGTCTAATTTCTTGGTTCAATCGATATCGGATTAAGCCCAAACTTGGGTAACATTATATTACGGCAGGAGGAGTTATTCGGTGAGTTTTGAGTGAAATTCAATCTCTAAAACTATACAATATACCAACCACTCCATTTACATAATGAACTTCGTACGAACTTGAAGTGTTCAATTTCCTTGGCCAATAAATATTGGATTGAGCCCAAAACTTGGTCAACAACATAGTGTGGTGGGAGTAGTTATTTGGTGAGTTTTGAGTGAAATCTAATCGCTAAAACTATGCAACACACCAACCACTGCATTTACGAAACGCACTTCGTATGAACTTGAATTATCCAATTTTTTCATTCAATCGGGATCGGATTGAGCCCAAAACTTGGAAACCGTTATAATATGGTGGGAGGAGTCATTCGGTGAGTTTTAAGTGAAATCCAATTGCCAAAACAATGCAATACACCAACTAATACATTTACTGAACTAACTTTGTACGAACTTGAATTGTCAAATTTCTTTAGCCAATATATATCGTTGATCCCAAAACACGGGCAACATCATAATATGGTGGGAGGAGTGAATTGGTGTGTTTTGAGTGCAATCTAATCGCTAAAACTATGCAATACGCCAACCACCCCATTTACGGAATGAACTTTGTACGAAATTGAAGTGCCCAATTTCATAGGCCAATCAATATCGGATTGAGCCCAAAAGTTGGGCAACATTATAATGTGGTGGGAGGAGTCGTTCAGTGTGATTTGAGTGAAATTCAATCGCCAAAACAATGCAATACACCAACCACTCCATTTATGGAAAGAATTTCGTACGAACTTGAATTGTCCAATTTCCTCGTCCAATCTAGATTGGATTGAGCCCAAAACTTGGCCAACATTATAATACAGTGGGAGGAGTCATTCGGTGAATTTTGAGTGAAATCAAATCGCTAAAACTATGCGATACAACAACCACTTCATTTACGGAACGAACTTCGTACAAACTTGAATTGTCCAATTTCTTTGTGCAATTTAGATCGGATTGAGCCCAAAATTTGGGCAACATTATAATATTATGGGAGGAGTCATTCGGAGAGTTTTGAGTGAAATCCAATTGCCAAAAAGATGCAATACACTAACTAATACATTTACGAAACAAACTTCGTACGAACTTGAATTGTCCAATTTCTTTCTCTAATCTAGATCAGATTGAGCCCAAAACTTGGGCAACATTATAATATGGTGGGAGGAGTCATTCGATGAGTTTTGAGTGAAATCCAATCGCTAAAACTATGTAATACACCAACCACTCATTTACGGAACGATCTTCATACGAACTTGAAGAGTTCAATTTCATTGGCCAATCGATATCGGATTGAGCACAAAACTTGGTCAACATCATAATATGGAGGGATAAGTTATTCGGTGAGTTTTCAGTGAAATCCAATCCCTAAAACTATGCAGTGTCCAATTTCACTTTCCTCTTTTTGCTTGTTTTTGCGAAGTCAGTTTTTAAAAACCAGAAACCTCTCTCTCTCGTCCCACCTGTGCAGCCTCTCTTTCTCTCTCCTCTATTCAGAAAACAGCCACGGCCGTGGCTTGCAACTACGATTCCAGCCACGTCTGGCTGTCTCCGGCCACGAAATTGGTCACATTCTCTTCGTCTTTCACTCCTTTACACATGTATACCAATTTCTAGCCCCAAATATAAGAAAAATAAGCCAAAATTCAAGCCAAACTCAGCCCAAAATTGGGTAGCTTCAAAACAGTGATTTTGTGGTCTTTTCCGGCCACCACAGCTCATGTAATTACATCCAAAATACTCTCCTATCTTCCCTTGGTGTTATCCCTTGAAAACTCAAAGTGAATCCATTCCAATTTCTTTGATTTTGAAACTAAATTTTTTTCTAGGTTTTTAAGAGACAGAAAGCTTCATTCGAGGGCTTTATATGTGGAATTGATCGTCGATCTAAGATATAAAGTTACTCCTCTTGATGTGCTTAATTCGTAGGTAAGATCATTGGCCGGATGTTTGGAGTTTTCCGATCGTTGAAAAATTACTCAATACAACCTCTGGCTGTGGCGGCATGTCAGCGGGGTGTCAAGGTTGGGTTTTTGCTAGGGGTGGCATTTTAAACCCAAAAACCGCAAAAACCAACCGACAATTTACCACAATTAAACCGAACCACATTTGCAGTATTAAGAACCGAACCGCATTTGCGGTATTTGATTTTCAAAACTTGCGGTTACCGCAAACCACAAAGTATAGCCGCACGGATGATGAAGTTGAATTTTACAAGGAAATGGAACATATAACAACTTGTAAGTAATTAGTTTATTTATGCTAATGTTATTTATGCTTGTTATAATAAAATGTACTAAACTATGTTGTTTTATTTGTAGATAACATTGGTTCTCAAACAACACAACGGGGTTCTTCAAATTCATTCACCACCAACACTTGAGTTTGTAACTTTAGTTTGTAACATTGGTGCATTGCATTTTCCTTTAAGTTTGTAACTTTAATTAACTTTGAATTGGATTTTTCTTTTTGGTTGTAACTTTAATTCATTTGTTTTGCATTTTCCTTTTGGTTTATAATTTTAAAGGATTTGGAATTGGAATGCTTGAGAAGTTTAACTTTAATTGGAATGTTTGGAATTGTAACTTTAATTTTCTTAGGTTGTGAATGCTTGAGAAGTTGAGGAGATTGTGAATTTATATATGTTTGAGAAATTGAGGTTGTGTATTTATTTATTTAGGTTGTGAATTTATATTTTTGTGAATGCTTGAGAACTTGCGGTTTTAAACCGCTAATTCGCGGTAAACGACCGCATTTTGCTGTTTCAAAAATCACCAAACCGCAAATAGTCGGTCAGTTTACGGTTTGAGTACAAATTCGCAGTTACCGAACCGCAACCACCCCTAGTTTTTACCCATCAAGGCCCCCAATGGCAAAAGGACAAAAAGAAAAGAAAATTTGTAAATGAAAATATCCATTTGACTTCTACCAAAAATCTTAAATGAGGACACGTGGCGGAAGTGACCCATTTCATCTGTCTCCCTGACCGACCTGTAACGCTAGCACGAGTGAGTTCAGGAGCCGTAAGCTGTTGCTTTACAACTACCAAGTACTTTTCGAAAACTAGGGCTTTGGAGGAAGATTACACAGACAACGTTACACACTACACAACACATACTCCTCGTACTCTTTCACTTCGTCTCTCTTCAACTTCTTTGTCTTCTCTCTCTAAAAAGGTAAGAATGTTTCTGTTTCTGTTCTTCTTAACGTGTTGTTCTGCTTAAATGGGTTTTGATATTAGCTTGTGCTTTTTTTGTGTGTGTTTTGCATTGGAGGGAAATTCAATTCTTTGAGGTGTTGAATTGGGATGGGACAATTTTGTGTGAGTTTATGACTAAATGGGTCAATCTTGATTTGTATGCTCTCATTGATTGTTGAGAGCAAATGTGGGAAGTAAAATGAAGAAATGATTATTCCAATCTTTATGCAAATTTTGTGTAAGAGGTCAAGAAAAGTTGTAATGGAAGTCAATATTTGTTTATTTATTTATTTTATAAAAAAATTTCCCTTAGTTATATCTGCAATGATTGAGGTTGAGTTATGAATCATAGAGAGTGCTTTGATGGCTTCTTGGCTTCTTGGATTCAGGCTCTTAAGAAAACGTTGTTGTCCTAGAGGTGGATACTCTGCTTTATACTTTTAAATGAGTAGGAACTTGATTTTAGTTCAATAGCCACTTTTCAGTATTAGATGTTAATGATACATAAACTATGGGATTTGCTAAAATTGATGGGCTAGAGTGGTGTTTAAGAGAGGTTTTGTATAGTAGCAATGCTGGAAAGTTATCGCTATACACTGATTATATTTTGAGTTGGATAGTGACTTTCGTTGAAACTTCTCTAATTGAAAATTTGACATGCTATTGTGTGAGAACTACCCTCTTTGTCATTTTTGAAATTGTGATCTACATGCAAAGAAATTTGTTACACTGTACACAGCGTGCCAATAACTTTTATTTAGTATGAAGTTGTGGGGCTTGCTTCTTATAAGATAGTCGAATCCTCAGTTATTATAAATACCCCTTATGTGTAATTCATTATGGAGAGTTTAGATTTATGATATTGAGTAAAGCTTATTTTCCAGAGATTGGGGACTTCTTGGTGTGAAGCCAAAACCCCTTGGTGTGAAGCCAAGACATCGTTTTCCATCTACTTTCTGTTTTATCATTGTGTTCGCTTCGGCTAAATTACCTAAATACTCAATTCGTCCATATCCTACGTCATCGAGGATTAGGAAATGCTTTTTAGCAGGTTCTTAGAACTTACTTAAACTTCAGACAGCTAGTTTTTATCTTTTATTTATTTTTTTAAATTATGAGAAATAATAAACAGATAGGTAAGCATACCATCTAGTTAACGAGTCATAACCTTAATTTTGGGCACTGTAAAAAGCTTATGCTTGAGTTTTCACCTTTGTGATATCAGTACTGCAACTTGCAAGTGCTAATAAAGTTTTTATTTATTTATTTATATGGGTTGTTAGTCTCAACTCTTCACTATTTATGTATGGTAAAGACAACAACAGACTGCTTGTTTCTTTTCATATTGAATCCCCTTCTACCATATTTCTTCGTATGTAATGCTATGCAGCTTTTGTACTCTTTAGTCATTCTTGCGTATTCAGCTTGAATGGGGATTATACTTTTTGAATTAGACTCTGTTTGTTTTGATGCGAATTAATTCAGCAGAAAAAATTTCGTATTGAAAAACTTTATGATGCCTGTTTAAGTGGAAAAGACTTTCCACTTGGCAAATATTTTTTGGGATACATGAGCTTTTCTGTAGTTCTTGTCATGTAATGTTTTATTTTTTAATTGGAAGTCTGGATATGTTTTCTGAGGAAAAAGAAAGGATAACTTTTTTTTTGGGGTGAACAGAAAGGATAACTTTACCTACCCTTATGTTGAGTTAAAGCCTTGACCAAAACACAATAATGAAGAAAAATAATCTTGATGGAATTTTGGTAAAATTCAGGGGATTCCCCTAAAAATGATAGTTTCTGTTTAAACAGATGGACATAGTTCATTTGGCTTCCTTTATAAAGATATTTTTGAATTTTTTTAACCATATTTTCTTTTTTGTTTTTGTTTTATTGGTTTCTCCTACCTTACCATAGTTCTGCGTAGTCTCCAGTTTATGCTTACATTTCACCTGCATTTATGACGTAGTAGGTTGATAGGGATATGTCTTGTGATACTGCAAAAGAGAATGCATCTGTAGTTGACTCATCTGTTACTGAATGGAAACAAGACATGGGAAACTCAGATGATCCAGGTAACAATAATGGAAGTTCTTTCTTTTTATAATTTCATGCCACTTTTGATTTTGATGTACTTTTATTAGTTTGACATAGATTAGCTGTTTCGCAAGCAAATATACATTATTGATGTGTTGAATGCAACAGTTTTAAACTTTTCAGCTACTACTGAAGTTTAAGATCTCTGTTGTGGAAGTGTTCCTTTAGAAGTTCTTTGGTGAATGTACAAAGTATGATGTTGTGCATCTACACTGTTTTTACATTTTTCATTGTGTAATACATTCTCGGATCATCATATAGCTTGTACTGTTATGTGCATTCGACAAATTTCCAGTTTATGTGGGCTTGGAGTTGGAAGGTGCAGTTGATGATTTTTCATGCTGTACTTGGTTTCCAAAGATGTACTGATATCTTTCATTTATATATTTTGACAATACATATATTTCTAGGAGATTAATTTCAGTGTTTTTAACTAATATAAAAATGCTTTTGCCTTTACTTCTTCTTCAAGGTAATATCATTTGAAGCAATTAGATAGATAGATATTGGCTGCTTGATTTAATCATCTTCAGTTCATGTATGCATCATGCAAAACTTTGTAATACATTTTCTAATTTTCATCTCAAGCTGTGATCAGTGGATGATATGATATTTTCTTGTCAGAGAGTTCAAGTCACAAAGTTAATGAGGACGGTAATCCTTCCAAGTCAGAAGAAGGGGGGCATTGTCATGATCAAGGTGGAAAAACAACTGGAAGAAACAAGGGTACTTTGTATGATACAAGATATTTCATCATTAAGAGTTTGAATCGTCAAAATATCCAACTATCAATTGAGAAAGGAATTTGGGCTACTCAAGTCATGAATGAACCAATTTTGGAAGAGGCCTTTCATGTAAGATCGTCTATGTTTTAGTATCATGCTTTTCTTTTCCAATCTAGATACTTTATAGGGAAGCATATGGTTGTGTTGCAGAATTCTGGTAAAGTAATTTTAATATTCAGTGTCAACATGAGTGGTTCCTTCCAAGGGTATGCCCAAATGATGTCTTCTGTTGGATGGAGGCGAGACAATGTATGGAGTCAAGGAAGTAGTAGAAGTAATCCATGGGGGCGCAGTTTTAAGGTCAAATGGCTGCGGTTAAATGATCTGCCTTTCCAAAAGACTCTTCATCTCAAGAATCCATTGAACGAGTACAAACCTGTTAAAATTAGCAGAGACTGCCAGGTTTTTAGTTATTATATTAAGTGTCTTCTGATTCTTTTTGTTGTTTTTTTATTCTTCTTGGAAGAGTGTTTTAAAATATGACTTGAAGTTCTGTATTCTTTCAGGAGTTATCTCCAGATGTTGGAGAAGCGCTTTGTGAGCTTCTTGATGGGACAAATGATGTGAATGGACTGAATAGGTAATAATTTCTGAACGCTTCAAGATGAATTTACTTATTTCTAAGCCAGTTCATGAGCCTTTTGTTATGATTTTATTTTGGAACAGTACTGCTATGGATGATTTTCCATCAAAAAGGCCTTGTATAGAGCCTCCATGTTCATTAGGTGAGGAAGAGTATAATGTAGGCCCCATGCATCTCTCATGGTCCCAGGCACCCATGCACTATCCCTCCTTGCTTTACCAACATCAGGCTGAGGCAAATTTGCCTGTCAACTCTGTTGCATCAAAAGTTACAAGGGCCAAACATTCTCGCATTAATGGACACCATTCTAATATACGAGTGGACAGGGATTTGTCATCTCGGTTTGATGTTTGGGGTTTGTCTGGAGAAAGCCGTCTAGCAAGTGTTCTTACTGAGGATGATTTTCTGGAAATGGTATTATGTTTCTATCTTTGTATCTTTATTTCTGGACTGCTCTTCTTTTTTCCCCATATCTTCACTTTAGGCCTGTAGTACTGTTTGAAATCGCCCTTGCAAATTAGTGAACTTAGAGACATGAAAGGCAAATGGTGATATCCCGTTGAAAATAATTTGAAGCTGAACTTAGGACTTGCTCGTTGTAGTATGTTAAGAAGGTACGGGCTTTAAATCTTTGAGACCAAAAAAAGAAAAAAATTAAGGAAAATGTTTATTTTGATTTACTCTTGTTGAAATTGTTGAAGTTCCCAGCCATGTTTTCTAGTCTCTCTCCCTCCCTCTCTCTCTCCCAAAGTCTCTTTTCTAAAGTTGTGTAAACGTTATTGGGAATTGGGCCTGGGGGTTAATGAAGCTGAACTAGCTCACTGTAGCTTAACTAGAGTATTCTAGTTTTGCTCGCTTTATTCGTAAGACTTCCATTCTGAATCCTCTGACAAGGAAAGTTCACATTTTTCATTTTTTAAAATCTTTATTTGTAATGTTATATTTTCATTTTACTTTTGATATTTAATCTTATTTATCATGTTAAATCTCCATCTTAATTTTGATAATTTAAATCGTAAATCTGTTCTGTTGAGAACGATCTTGTCATATGTTATTGGAATATTGTCTCTGATAATTGTACTTCTTGTTATTGCAGTCTTATGAAGAATACCTGGAGGCCCAAAGTAGAAGTAGCAAGGAATTATCTCTGCCTGTCAGTATGCTATCTAAGATTATCTAGTTGACTTTACTATGTGGTTTATATCCAAATATGTGACAGTATGATAACTTTAAAGCCTTGTCTTCTTTATGATCAATTGATGCGTCCCTTGCTCATAATTTCTGGTTTTTGAAAAGCAGTCTCGTAGCCAGACTTGTATTTTTCTTTTCCCTTTTTTGTTTTGTTTTCAAGTTTATATATTTAAGTGCATATTTCCTCAGTGGATTTAATATTCTTTATACATTTAATAAAACCTGGAAATAACTGGAGGCCTATCAGTTGGAGATTCTGGCTGATGATCATAAAATTCATCATAGGAATTAACCTCACTTGTAGAGGGACTTACACCATTCAGTGAGAGCCTCGAATGCTCTTATGTTATCGAGATTGTCAGGATCTTTGATTGCATCCTTCATTGGAATGTCTCTTGCTTTATTCTATGTAGAAATGCTCTTGCTGAAAATATTAGTGTTGGGATAGATTATTCATGTGCTTGTAGAACATTCCCCTTTGCTCTAGAATTTGACTTCAGTGCCCTGTCCTTTTATCTGATTGGACTGCACATTGTCTCTGTAATTGGATAGAAATGCAAATGCTTCTAAAGTAACCCCTATTTGACAGGGTTCAAGACCACATGTGTCATCAAGAAGTAAAATGCAGGAAGATGATTTGTAAGTACAATTTTATTGCTTAAATGATGAACCGAAAGTTGAGTATTAGCTTGGTGTGTAGCTCGCTGATTGGCTTCATGAATCATTCTGCAGAAGCTCAAGCTATGGAATTGACCGCAGCTGCTCAAGGAAAAGGGCTCACCATTCATCCCATAAGAAATCACAATGCTAACGCAGCTGTGACTTCCCTTGGTCGTTTTTGGATAATAGCTTTGTCATCTGATGGAGTTTTGCATTTCCTTCAGGCAATCATTCAGTGAAGTCATTTCTTTATCTGTAAACCGTTGTGTCCTGTTCTTGTACACATGTCTGTTGTTTAATGTTCCATAATGTGACTGGTGTTGGGGCTGGTTACTAAATTGTACAGTCATTGAATTGGCAACATGGCCCCTACCCTTCCTCCTCCATGTTGACCTAGATTAGATAAATGAATGCTATGAATTCAGTGGTGCATTTTTATATGGTCACCGACTCAGAAGCGTAGTTTGTTTGGATGTAAAATTGTTGACTTGATCAGATGCTGGTGCATGAATGATTGATATGGATGTAAATGAAGTTAGAGCCTAGATGTGTGTATGTGGAACTAATTCACAGAAGCTTGATGATCAGTGTTTACTGAGATTTCTTTTATAGACAGGGATCAGTGTTTTCTAATTATGTAATTGTCGTGTAACTCCACACCTTGGCGATAATGTAAGGAGCTGTCTTGGAGATGGAGAAGCAGGAGGTATCGCTTCTATGCAAAAATGTTTAGTTTAGGCAACATGCGACTGGCTTTGAGAACTAGGGATGCTTGGGTATGTTGTAAGCTTTTGATTTTGTTGTCTGGTTCATACAAAGTAGAATCCAATTCAGGCATGCATGGAAACCAAAGGTTCCAGTACTGATCAAAATCAGCATTTGTTACAAGGCAAAACATGCGAAGCTTGTCCTTAAAAAAAACCAAACCATTAAAATTTATCTTCATAAAAGTAGAATTAGGAAGGGATATTGCTTGCCTCCTTCATTGGAATTACGGTTTATCGCATGTATAAAAATAATTCGTCAAAAACAAAAATGAAAAACGTCTTCACACATGTCAAATTGCCATTGGTAGGAATGTAGTGTTCCTTAGGTTGGAAGGTGAATTCTCCATATTTCCTACATTTTATTAAGGACACTAATTTCTCAAGGAAAAATCATATTCGGTCATTGAAAAAGAAAAAGAAATAGCGAATATAAAAAGTTGTTATAGCTGTGGCGGAAAATAAGTGAAGGGGTCTGGAGCAGAAAACGCAAAGCGAAAATCCGATGGACTGCTCGTACGTTCCCCAGGTTAGCAAAGAGGAGGTGATAGCGAAGCTAAAGGACGACGGAGACTTCGACAGACTCCGCCGCAAGATCATTCAAAAGCTCAAGCACAACGTACGCACCATCTCTCTCTCTCTCTCTCTCTCCCGCCTTATTGATTCTTTTCTCTTTCTTAGGGTAACGAAATTCGCTTGCTTCTCCATTTGTTTCTGTTACTTTGAAGAAATAAAAAATTAACCAGTGCTTAAATGCTAAAGCTTAGGGTGTTGGTGAGCCAAATTTTTTCCTTTTATGTTCCTGAGCCAAATTTGTGAGTGGATGTTCTGAAACAAATGCAATTGATTGCAGGATGAATTGCGTGAAAATATTATTACAATTGTGAAGCAATCGGCAGCGCTTAATCGTGAAGGTGCCGAGAATATGAAACCCAGACAACTTTCTGATGACATTTATCAGGAGGTTGGGTAAGTAACCACTTTCTCTCAATGACTTTAATGTGACTGATGACTGTATACGTTTATGTGGTGGTGGTTCTGTATCTCTTTGATGAAATACTAGAATATGGTTTTTTATGGTCTATATACTAGAAGATGGTTTACTAATTTTAAATAGAAGAAATTTTGTTCTGACTTGATAAGTCTCTGGTATCACTCTTCACAGTTTAATGATCGTAACATGGTAATTTTTTCTTCCTAGACTTCTATGCTATAGTCACAAACTTTTATTTGATTTCTCTTCGATTTGGTTGTTGTCATAGGATACAAAGGTAAAATCATGTGAGATCCGATATTGACAATTTTTTCTCTTGGTGTGCTTCCAATTGCTAGGGACCAAGTAATGAGCCACATATCTGATGGTTTGTGGGGTATAATCAGATCAAGTGATGGCATGAAAAGTGAAATCACAGAAACTGTTGAATCTGTCTACAATAAATTAACTAACCCGACAGGGAAAGCTGAGAGTGAAGCTTCCACACGTGATGTTCCAGTTTGCAAGGAAGCTGACAATAACTGTTTAGTTGTTGCTGCAGCCAAAGAAATTGATTATACGTTGTCTGGCAATGAACCAAAAGCACCACCGGGATTTTCTTTATCTCATAATCATCTGATAAACAATAATGATGAGTTACAGCTACCACTGCGTAATGTAAAAGGAGCCATGGAAGAACAAAAGGAAAGTTCACACCAGTTACAGGATAAGCTGAATGCCGATGATAACAGACTTGCGCCTGGATTTTGTACAGACATGGAGCACAAGCAGGCATGTGATGCTGGTGATGAGGATCCTGATGTGCCTCCTGGTTTTGGTTGATGAGTTTTCACGGTTATTACATAGCCATAAAATTTCAGAGACAATGCATTCAAGTATGCTTCTATGGTAACTACCTGAGGAAGCTTGCATTGAGTTCTTGTGGTGGGAAAGTTTCTATGCAATTTCCTTGAATAGAATGTGAGATGATTCATACTATTGACATTTTGTTGCATGAGGGCATCTGGCTCCTGGCTATGCAGTGTATTTAAAATGACTAGCTTCCTTACACCTGATGCCCTGATGTGTGAGCAAAACATGAAATCTGTATGTAGGTTTGGCAGGTCATGTGCAAAGAAGCTTGACATCATTTGCAACATTTATCATTCTTGAGCAAGGTTTCTTTTCTCCACGTCTAATTCTTTACTGAAAGTGTGCAACATCTGGGTGAGAAAATTATAGGGTCATCCCAGTGTAAGTTAAGTAATTAGATTTCTATCAGTAGTTTTCATTACTGAATTAAAAATAAAACTTGAGTTAGATGTGAGAAAGTGCATTGGATTATGGTATTTCTATATTTGTGACATTGTTTTCTTTCTAAATGCCGCGTATTATATTTAATTTTTATTTAATTTAATTTTAATTATTCTTTCAACGGGAAGCAGCAGACCCAAGATTTCTCTATCTCTGGTAACTTGGGGTGTCAAAGGGTTTCTTTTTGCCCTTTGCTTAAATTCTCCGAGTGGTCTTTAAATAGTTGTCATGTTATTGAAAAGACATAAGGAAATGAGTAGGTACAAATATGTTTGATCACATACAGCACCATGAACTTTGATGAAACTACAAGTCACCACGTGCCCACTATATGATATGCATCCATTACTTACTGGAGTTTAACAGAAATTGGACTCCTAACGACGTGTTTAGCAGAAACCCATGTTAGAAATCCTTGAGTGAATTCACCAGCTTTGCCTCTTGAACCAATACGGCTGAATGTCACTGAATACGACAGCTTCTGGTTCACCTTTGAGAAGTAAAGTGTTTTGGGATTGATACTCACATAGACTTCTTCTGGTGCAGTAACCTTGACTGCATAAGATGAATATGCCTCACCAACATTTGTCACAGTTCGTGTGAATGTCTGAGATGGTCCCAGTGTGACAGAAAATGAAGGGTAGTTCAGCTCTCCTTCAGGTATGCTTGATACCTTTGAGCACTTTGTTGGTCTGTGCACAAGGATACTTACTTCATCGTCTTTGTAGCCCAAGCCACAAAGATAAGGGATATAATCATCAGGTTGAATATCATATACTAATCCTGGGTCATTTGCCTTTGATGGATTGACATGGCCTGCACCGGTGGCTAAGACATCTGCGGGCTGAAGTGTTTCATCGGGAATTGGTTTTCCTTCCAAATTTAGAAGATCAGCAGAAGTCATTATAGCAGATTTGATGGCAGCTGGTGACCAGTAAGGGTGAGAGCTCTTGAGCAAAGCTGCAATTCCACTGAGATGCGGGCATGACATTGAAGTTCCAGAAATTATGTTGAAATTGATTTTTGAATTTGTGGTGTTGTCCACAGGGAATGGCCATGCAGCAAGAATGCTTACGCCTGGTCCAATAATGTCTGGTTTCAGAATACCTGGACTTGCCAGGCTGGGGCCTCTTGAAGAGAAGGAAGCAACGGCAGGAGTAGATGAGTCTCCGATGACAGTTCCTTTGAATAAGATTGTCGCTGTTGGTGTTGCTGTTGAATTTATATACGCTTTGATCTTCAGTCCAGCTGCATGGCTCACATGTGTTGCAGGAAGAACATGAACATCAGCTGATGTACTGAAGCCATCGGTTTCTCCGTTCACAAGAATCATGGCAGCACCTCCAGCATTTTTCACTTCCTCTCCCTTGGCAATTCTTCCTATTCCCCCACCTCGTTCACACAAAACTACCTTACCTTTAACACTGAGACCTTTCAAGGATCCTTCAGCGCACAATGCAGAATCTGCTTTACCATTTGCTCCAGCATAAACAAGTGGCAACAATGTTGAAGGGAAATCTTTTGGCTGAAAGAGAGATTCGCCATCAAATTCTTCTCCATTTCCAAGCTTTGCTGTGGCTACAATACGTCTATCTATGGTGCTTGCTCCGACTGTTAGAATCCAGGGGGCTTCATTAGAAAGAGTGCCATTAAATGGGCCAGAATTTCCAGCTGAACAACTTACAAATATTCCCTTTTGGATTGCTGCAAATGAGCCTATTGCAGTACTGTCTTTGAAAAATGGAACTGAAGCTTCGCCAAGAGAGATTGAGATCACATCAACACCATCCTGAACAGCCGCTTCAAGTGCAGCTAGTATATCGGCCTCGGGACAGGGTTCTCCGAAGCACACTTTGTATATTGCCAGGTGAGCATAAGGTGCTATCCCAACTGCTGTACCTTTTGCATTTCCCAGCACATCAGCATTCTGCACAAATGCACCAGCAGCTGTGCTTGCTGTGTGGGTCCCATGTCCATCTATATCGTTTGGTGCCTCGGGTTGATCTCCTTTCAATGCCTGAGCTGCAAGATTGAAAGCCCTTGCACCAATTAATTTGTTGTTGCAGTCTGATGCGTTAAAGTCACACCTCCCTTTCCATTTTGCAGGTGGAGGGGGAATTCCCGCACCACTAAATGAAGGATGGTTGGGCTCAATTCCACCATCCAGTACTCCAATGATCACTCCCTTCCCGAAATTGGATTCTTTCCATATACCTGTCTGTTGATGCAGCCCCAAGAAGTTGGGTGTGTGTGTAGTTTTCCGATGAAATACTCTCTCGGGATGTGCTGCCACAAAGCCATCCATCTCCGTCATTGCTCTCACTTCCTCCTGAGTGAGTCTAGCTGCAAAACCACTGATCACTTCTTGGTACGAGTAAAGCATGCGTGGCTGTTCATCTGAGCTTGCTGTGGTAATGGCCGGCAGGAAAGATTCATGCCAGCTCTTCAGGTCTTCTGTTTGAGCAAAAACCCTGCCCTCTGGTTTCCTTACATGGACAATGTATGTTTGCAAATCGCTCCATTTAGTAGTGGTGGAAAGAGGTCATTTTGCTGAGCAATTACACAATAGAAGCTAAACAGGAAAATGAGAGTAAGGAAAGGGATCAAAGCCATGGTGAGCAAAACCCTTGTGAATGAGGTAGAAGGGGATAGTAGAGCCTATGCTTCTATTATCTGTTGGGAAAGGATCATATATAGGGTAAGGAAGCAGAGAATTGGCCGGCATTTTCACTAAAGTGTCGAAATGTATCTGTTGGAGCTTTATGGTTCAGCTCCCAGTGAAGTTTATGCTATTGTAGCCTTATTATCGTCTTGTGTCCCATGGAGAATTTTATTTAGTGACTCTACTTCTCCTTAGGCGGCAACATGGATGCTGTGCATGTTTTTGTCTAGTACTTTAGTTCGAGTTTCGTACTGTGTCCGACTGTCTTGCCAAGCTTGATTTGTTTTACACTAGTACTGCATGTTTGACCAGTTCAAGGATGGGTCCATATTTCCTTCCCACCTTTTGTTTTGAACTGGACGGTTGTTAGCATATCTGTAGGTTATTCTCTTCTAGAAGGAACCCACGCCATTATATGTGTAATAATGGGTGTCACATTAATCAGCCATTTGTGTGATTTTTATTGTGTTCAGACTTCCATGTCCTTTACTGTGGTTATATTTTGGCACCAGCAACAATCTCGTAGGCATTAGAGAAGGCATTGCGTTGTATTTGGAAGCCATATTTCTTGGTGAATTACTGGTTTCCCTCTTCTCATCTATTGTGAGATTCGAGAACTTTTATATATTTTGTATGTGCTTAATTTCTCCTGTGGAAGTTGCTGTTGGAAATGTTTTCTTAAGGGCATATATTTTTTTGGGAGATTCACTATAATACCCAATATAGGAGCCCAAATTATAAATAAATAAATAAATAAAACTCTATATGAAATTGACTTTAGAAACACACCTAAAGCTCATTTACAACATAACAAAAAGACTTTTAACTTCTTTTAAATTACAAAACTGTCCGCTCAGACTATAATAAGTGGCAACTTATAAGGGGTTCACTTTATAGTCATTAGATCAATCCAAGGGTAGGGGAGAATTGGGATAAAGTTGTGCAATCGGGTAGGTGAGGAACCCAAACCCGAATTTAATATCCAGCAATGAAGTTGGTCCCAAAAAAAAAGAAAAAGGAGGCAAGTTCGAAGTTTGAACAGAAAAAACCCATTGATCTAAAACCCATAGCTCAGAGAAACTACTAAGCTCTGAGAAACAGTTGAAGGCAACGGGCAACGACGGTTGAAGGCAAAGGTTAATGACGGTTGAAGGCAACGGTTGAACACAACTCTATTATCTAAACCGTGAAAAAGTATTTATTTTGAGTGGAAGGAGCAAAGGCGTGGATTCTGAAACAGTAAAAAGACGAAGCAGTGGAAGGGGAAGGAGAGAAGCCGTATTCGTTGGAAGTGATAGGTTCCATTTGTGGAGCAAAGCTGCAGAAAGACCCAGCATAGACACCTTGCGATTGTTCAATAACCAGCATTTGGTGAGTAATTTATGAAATTTGAGTTTAGGGTTAGAGTAACCGTTTTCCCCAATTTGTACCATGAATGTTGTTGGATTTGGCATCTCTTCTTTGTGCTTCACTTGCATGTTAATTTTTGCTTGGATATATGTTAAAAAACGAATGAAAATCAAGTCAATAACATGTCAATAATGATATGAATAAGGTAATGGTGTTGAATTGGAGGAGGCCCCCAAAACCTTCCACATTTGAAGCAGTGTAGAATGCAGATTATCTCTCTTGCGCTAGAATGTATATAATTTTTGAAATAAATATTATTTCCATTGTTACTAAATTTGCCTGTGAAAAATGAGAACAGATAATAATAAACTCATGAATAAAAGTGCAAAGCATTTGAAAAAAGGTTGATCTGTGACGATTATGTCTAACTGAAGAAAAAGCTAGAAAGAAATAAGGATGTGGCAATGGCTTAGCAAGCAGATAGCAGAGCAGATGCTTTGCTTTGCTTCCTTCCACCATCTTTCTTATTTATTTATTTATTTTGTGTTGTGTATGAGATGACAATAATTGTCATGTGTGTGAAGTGCAAAACTTGCCTAGATTGCACTCACACTCACTCATGCATCAACCATTGATTGGAGTTTGGATCCATAAATAAAACACATGCTATTGCTTGTAATTCATAGAATCATTGCATTAACAGGTATTTGCACAAAATTTGTCATATTGCTTCGATGATGTTAAAGCCTGTGATCAGTAATCCCTATGCGCATGTACTTTGTAAAATTTGTAATGTGCTGGTTGACTAGTTGTGTAAATACTAATGTGATTGTGCAAATACATGGTAGTATATGTGTTCACATTATTTCATATTGTATTTCAGGAAATGGGATCCAACGTGGAGCTGGTATGGCCAGAGTCAGAGGCATATTCCTCACGGGTGAACAACTGCTCACATGCAAATTCATCCCTAGCTGCAATTCGAGCAAAGTTGAGTGCTGAACAATTAGAACAATTCAAGACATCATGTTTTGGCCATCTTCTGAATATAGATAAGATTCAGTTTAGAGGGTAGATTGTGCATGGGGTTGTGTTGCGTAGAGTAGCGGGGCAAGGTGTGAAAGACTTGGATGGACTGAGTTTCTTAATAGGGTGCGACGTTGCTCAGTTCACTCGTCAGGATTTCTGTTTGATCACAAGGCTTCGTTTTGGGGAAGTGCCTGAAGTTTCCAGTAGAGAAAGTGATGAAATTAGACTTCAGAAAAGATATTTTATAGACGAAGGAATTACATGTAATGCTTTAGAAAAAGCATTTCTGAGGTGCACAAAGGAAGATGACATCTACAAGCTAGCTCTTGTTTACTTTGCTGAGTTAGTGGTTTTGGGAAGGGACAAGCATTTGAACATCAATCTAAATTACCTGACCCTTGTAGAGGACTTGGATGCGTTCAAACAGGTATCCGTGGGGTTCGGTGTCCTTTGACAAAACCCAAGACAGTCTGTTTTCTGCACCAACAAAGTATGTGAAAAGCTTTGAAAATGAAGAGGGAAGAGGGAAGGGGAAAAGTAAGGTAACGAGAACAAGCCGGAGAAATGAGAAAGGCAAGAAGGATAAGCATGGTGAAGTGCAAAGGGGTGGCTGGAGTTTTAAAGGTTTCACGTATGCTTTCCAGGTACATGGTAATAATGTTCATGTTAGTTATGTTTTGTGGACTTTAAAACTTAAATAATAACTATTGTCCTGTGAATTGTGTAGATTTGGGTATATGAATTAATTCCTAGAATGGTGGACCTGAATTACTGCAAGGTTGTTGATCCGACAGCTCTCCCGTGTATTTTGCGATGAGAACTACTACATCTGTTCCCGAGATGAGAAAGTTGAACAATTATTTTTTCCAGAGCAAAGAGGTTTGGTTTGCAGCCCTTGGAACTATTTATAAGATTCAATGAAATTATGAAGTAGAATGATTGCATATGACTCTTGTCTGTATTCTGAAATAGTCAGTTCAGTTGCGGGCGCTATGTCCAAGTGAAGAGGAAATGAGACAACCATATTGGAGTTGGCCACAGGATCGCCCTGTTGTTGTCTCGGCAGAGTCAATTCCTTCTTCATGTGCTGACCTTGATGAGTTGAACAAGGCGGTAATCTTGTTGAGGTCCAAGTTGTTTCAAGTAAAGCGGGAAAATGACGTCCTTGAGTTAAAGGTCATACGGATGGAAAAAAATTTGGACCATTGTTTAGGTCCTCATTTTGAGCAGGAAGTGAGAAGGGACATAGCTTTACTGAAAAAGAGGACGAATCGTTGTGTCGTGTCACATCTATTTAAGGGATATGAGGAAGTGGATGGCATGCAATGGGACGAAGGGCCAAGTAACAGAAATAAGGGAGACGAAAATGAAGAGGAGGACATTGAAGGGGGTGAATGGCCAAATAACAGAAATGAGGGAGAGGAAAAGGAAGAGGAGGGGATTGAAAGGGGTGAAGGGGCAAGTAAGAGAAATGAGGGAGAGGAAAAGGAAGAGGAGGGGATTGAAGGGGGTGAAGGGGCAAGTAAGAGAAATGAGGGAGAGGAAAAGGAAGATGAGGGGATTGAAGGGGGTGAAGTGCAAAGAAAACCAAGTGAGGTAGAGGAAGCTCAAAGGAAAAGAAGTGAGGGAGAGCAAGTGAAAATAAAAAGCAGCAAGGGAGAGGAAGTGCAAAGAAAGAGCATTGAGGGAGAGGAAGTGAAAAGAAAAAGCAATGAGGGAGAGGAACTGCAAAAAAAGCAGTGAGGGAGAAGGAAGGGCAAGGAAGTGAAAAGACAGAGAAGTGAGGAAAGGAAGTACAAAGAAACCAATGTGAGGAAGAGGATGATAAAGTTATGTTGCTTGGCGATGACATTGGCGAGAGCACGGAGGGGACAAAGGTTGAGTTTACTCTCGGGGACATTGATTTGGATCAACCTACAGCTGTGCTATCTCAGTTGAACGTTTGGTTGAATGATGAAGGTAAAGCTGTGGAACGAGGGGTCCAATTACGGAAGAGGAAGAGGATTATTCCTATGTGGAAGATCTTTGAAGCTAGTGAATTGGTTCAAAAAAATTTGCCAGAGACAACTCGACTTCGGACGTTAGACCCAATGAAGGTGATTCCGCATGATGATATGGTGAAGTTGTTGAAACTTTGTTGGGAATGGCGCCATAACCCAAAGTAAGTCCCTTGTTTTTTGAGATAGAAGGCATGAGTGTATATATTTTTTAATTGTTGTGTTATAAATTTTTTTTATATTCATAGTTTGGTGATGCAATTTGGCAACGTGGAAGCTAAGATTGAATTCTTCGCTTCCCTCGTCAAAGCTGACGGTTGGCTGAAAGGAGATGTAAGTTTAATTGATTATGCATTTGTTTGAATGTACATAGATTATGGGATTGACAAGAAAAACACGTGCAGCACATTTATTTGGGGTTGTATCTCATTTGGAAGCCACAACAAGAGTTGGAGGAAGTAGAAATATTGGACTAGACAACGACCGATGTATTTTTTATTGTATGTGATGTAGGATGCATAGGACCTAAATTGTTTAGTTTCCTAATTTATTTGTTAGTTTCCTATATTCTTTGGTTTTCCAAATCTTTCTAAGTTAGTTTTCCAAATCCTATTAGGATTTCTAAGTTTCCTATTTTATTAGGAATAAGATTTTTATTTTAGCTGGGGATTTTAATTCTATTGTCTCTAGGTTTTAGTTTGCTATAAATACCCCTATGTAGTTCTTTACAATTCAAATTTGAATATTGATTAAACATTCCTTTAAACGCTCTGATTTCTGCCTGCCTTCTACCTTTTCTTCCCTTCATCTTTTCTTATCTTTTCTGTCTTATTGCTCTGAGTGTGTAAACTAACACACCCAGGGCTGTGCTACATCAGTATGTCATAGGCATTGACCAAGTGCAGTTAATAATTACAAATTATCCATACTTGCTTTGTGGAGGTGTTTAACCATTGATTGTTTTCTATTTCACATAATCACATCCATACTTGCTTTGCGGATAATAAAAGAAAAAAAGAGCAAGTTGGGTGGAAAATTAGAACCAGTTTAGTGAACGTTGTAAATGGAAAGGTTCCGCCGTGTGGGATGGATTGGCAGAACTCATATAAGGTGTATGCCCCTTGTATGTTGACGAAGTATAAGCATTGGGTGGCTCTAATGATTGATCTGGTTCAGTGTGAAATCAAAGTGTACGATTCAATTGTTTCACTTATTCCAGATGAGATCTTAAAGGAAGAACTCGCCCCGCTTTCAATTATGATTCCAAATCTTGTCAACGCCATCGAATTTTATGAAGAAGGTGTTTATGCAAACAATTGCAGCCAAGATTGGTGGTGTCCGTGGCCAATACAACGTGTGGATGTTCCACAATAGTCTAATCAGTGAACACAACTTTTTATTTAATTTTATTACTTTAATTCGTCAATTACGTTAGAATGTCATTAGTTGAATTGATCGAGTTCTTGTTTTGCTTCAGAGGCGATTGTGGCATGTTCGTGTTGAAGTACATTGAGCTTTTGAGCACTGAGATTCCGTTAGCTACTTGCACCTCGCAGAACATGCCCTTTTTTCGATTGAAGTTGGTTGCAGAGATAGCATGGGGACATGCTTACATGCCATGATATTGGTTGAACTTGGTTTAGGTACATGATGATTAAATAGGTTTTGGGAATGTCCAATTTCAAACTCATGTAAATACACAATAGAGACCCACGGGTGCTTTTCGAATTCTACCTCTGCTCCTCAATTCTTCTTCATCTTTCTCAATCTTAGTGTATTTTTGTACATAAATTTAGATTTAAGTTATTGGACAATAACAATTAGAACCAAAATAGTGGCAAATATTATAGCGGATGCATGCTTTCATTTCGATTTGTGTGATATTACGCTACGTTTATTCTCATATTGTGCTAAATGTATATGGAGCTGGATGCAGAGCATAGACAGAAAAATGAAGAATCTGAAATGGAGATGCTGAGGCTTGGTGAGGAGAAAAGTAAATGGATCTGTAAATCTATTGCACGTGGGGCAATCTAAATGGATAGGCAGATGTGTTTTTGAAGTTAGACACATGCCATTCCCATACATAGAATGTGCGTCTGGAGTGTAAAGTTTTTTTGGATTTAATGAAACAAACATCTGTGTAATATTGGCCTAACTCCCTGACGACATTTACCTAACCTTAACCAAACTGCTGTTGGCTCTTGCGAATCTCGCGGCCTGGTGCTCCGGGCTGAGGGGATGTGCGTCAACAAGTGACGTCCTTCTTTCGGATGCAGTGCAGTTGTGCCCGGGCGTGCCATCACGGTCTACCGTGCGTCGAGATGATGATGAGGTTCGGGTAAAAGATGGTTAAATGTTGCGCCTGTTTTGCGTTCGACTTCTAATCAAACGATTGTGGCAGAGAGAGGAACTAATCTCAGCCGTTAGGTTCCCGGCCTGAGCTGCAAGGCAGTTTAGTGGTGGTGTTGGTGGCGGGTTTTAGGCGGTGCTCCGGCGCGTTACTCAAAGAACGACGGTCGTATGATATATGGGGTGAATGAGACGATAACAGAGATGGTGCTCCGGTGCCTTGAAAATTAAGGGGTCGTATTATATATTGATGAATGGATTTTCGTTACAATCTACCACTACTCCTAGGAAAGCAAATAAAGGTATTGAAAGTGCATTACAGAAAAATATAATTTGCTCCGTGGGAGGCTTTTGGTTTGGTGTTTGAACCCTTTGAATGTAGTCTTGAGCTTAGTATTTATAGGAGGAGTCCTGGAGGGACAATCGAGGCTGACAAGACCTGCGTGGTGGAGCCTGACCGGGGCAAGTGGGTAGTCAAATCGGCATTTGGGATCGTGAAGCATGGTGGTTTGGGATCGTGAAGCATGGTGGTGTGACTCCCATAAATCCCGGTAAATCTCGGCCACCGCCCTGATCTTGGGTTCTGCCCCCTTGGCCGTGGGAATGCATTTAATGCCTTGGTCTGGTGGTTGGTGATCTAACCTCAAGTCGTAAGATTACTTGTGAGAATGTCTGCGCCTAACCACCCTAATTTCCATCACCAAATCCTGACCTCAGTCACTTCCCTTGTGCATTAAATGCTTATTGCGACTAGTGGGTTTGTTGCGAAAGTCAGAGGCATTACTTCATTAAATGGGGCGTGGGACCCTAAGGCCACGTGGCGATTTAGCCACAGTTTCTTCGGCCGTGTCTTTTATGGCCTTCAGCTTCGGCCTTCAATATTGCGGTCGCGAGGCCGAAAGGATTCTGTCTTTGCAGCTTTTCTTTTGGTTTCAGGAAGGCGGCGCCAGGGCTGAAAGGAAGTCCCTTCAATCAATTTATGACCGTGATTTATTAGGCACAAACAACTGCATTGAATTGGGATTTGAAGGCTGCATATGTGAATTGGGATTTGAAGAATGCATATGTGAATGGGGACTGATGGCTTTTTAAGTGTATTACATCATTGCAAAGTGATATGTCATCATTTATCCAAGCCACCATTCCAAATATCAGATCCCAATCTTTAAGCCGTTCAACATGCCTTGACTTAATCGCAATGGGTTACATCTTAATAAGGTAATTCTGTAAGGGGAATAGGCGGCTATGGCCTCGCCTCCAATGTTTTATTCAACCATGACCTCTTTATAGAAACACATGAAAAAATGTCCCCAGGTGGAATGCTATAAAAACTCCTTATTGGTTCCGTACTGCCCCTCGGGTTTGAATCCCTCTCTCCTTTATAATCGGTTAATAAATTCGTTGATTTTCTTTATTTTATTGGTTTTGGGCAGCTCAGAGCATAAAAATAATGTATATTGGTGCGTGTATATTGCATGTCTGTTGGGTCTATATTGCTTGTCTATTGCATGCCTATCTTACATTTATTGCGCGTGTATTGATTTTTATTGCTTACGAAGGAAATAAATAACAATACACAGGCAACAAACAAGCAATATGCACACAATAGACATGCAATATACATGCAATATACACGCAATAGACATACAATATACACGCAATAGACAAGCAATATACATCAGTCCCTAATTACACCAACCATAAGGAAGTCGTATTGAATAGGACATTCTACTTAACAGTTGTTCTTCCTACTAAAAGAAAGAATAAGGACCGTTTCCCCCCTTAAATCTAACTCCTTAAATCTTACTTGAGTGGTACTTTTGACCCCAATAAACATGCAATATTGGAGCAATAATATGCGATATACATGCAGTAAACACTCAATAAACCTTCAATAAACATTCAATATCGGTTCAATAACATGCAAAATATATGACGTAAACAATGAATAAACCTTCAATAAACTTGTAAACAATCAATAAACCTTCAATAAACATTCAATATCGGAGCAATAACATGTGAAATACATGCAGTTAATAAACCTTCAATAAACATTCAATATCATGCGATTTACATCCAATGAACAATCAATAAACTTTAAGTATACGCAAATAAACAATCTATATACACTGAATAATTATGCAATCTTCATAAAAAAGGTATTGTCTTATTATTGCATCGTATGGGCCCTGTATTGTGATTTTATCGTCTTCGTATGACTTTATTTTTTTAAAGTAAGTGTTGGAAAGTTCTTACTTTAGACAAATAAATGCTTTTGTTTCAAACAATAATTTAAACTCAATGCCAATCCACCTATTTGAAGAACAAAAATTACAAAATGGGTTTGAAAACTCATTGGTGGTGCGTGCAACATGTGTTTTTGGGGAGAACTTTTACAATCCTTGAAACCATGCACTTAATTGGTCATTAAAAGAACAAATAATATGACAATCGATACAACTAATAAAACTAATACCAAGTCCTTAATGGACTTCAGCATATTCAGCACTGTAGCATCATACGTGTCATCTTGTTGTTCTGCTTCAGCGGAGGTTACATCAACCCATTCGAATCCATTGCAACTGGTGGCTCCCTAATTGCAGGCATCATATATGCAAAATAATTAGGGAGTTTCACTAAAACACCCAAAATGGGGTCTGAAATTATAAAAAAACCCAAGCACTATTTAAACATATAAACACACCAAAAACCCATCATTACACACACTCAAAACCCATTTATAAACACACCCAAAAAGTTGATTTTGGGTGTGTTTCTATGTTTAAATAGTGCTTGGGTTTTTTTATAAATACATGTCTAGGATTGGGTTTATTTATAAATTTATGTCAGAGTTAGACCTAGGTTTTTTTTCACCCACATACATATTCTGGAAATGAAAACTTACATAGGAGGTTAGACACTTCCAAAATGGGTTCCCTCGATTTTTATCTGATTTTGAAACCCGAAGCACCATTGCAGCTCCACAATACTGACACCTCTTTGTTTGAGCGGGAGATGAAGACAAAGACATGTTGAATCTTATCACTTGTACCTTTTCTCACTCAGATCTTCTCACTGAAACCTCTTCGGACTCATACCTTCTCACTCATAGTTCTCAGTCATACCCATTCACTCATAACCCTAAACTTCTCACTCAGCTCTCTCTCATCTCTGCCCAAATCGAATTATATCCTTCTTTTCTGTGTATGGGTGGGTTGGTCATGATTTGGACACCTGTACCGTCAGAATTGTGACACCTATTACCCCGAAAAGCAATATAATATTTCACTACCAAATATTAATCTGAAAATTGAGGGGACACTGCTTTAAATATATTATTTTATTTATATTTCATTAAGGCAACTAGTTGGATAAGAATTCGTCATCATTGGTGTGGGAAAATGAAAAAGTATCTGATGGGACCTTTTGTGACTAGTTAGTAATCCATCCCATTTGTGTCAATGAATTTGATGGCGGGAAAAGCCTAAAAATGGCTATGGAAATAGGTTATTAATTGACTTTTTGACTGTCTGACTCCCTTTGCATCTCGATGACATTTTCCCTTCTGTTGTCTTGAGTTTTGGGTGTTGGGTTCAGTTTCTTTAAAAAGGGTCAACTTGGAAAAACCCCAAGGAAACACCTTTTCAAAACACTACAAACATAGGCTAAAACAAAACCAAAACCCCATATATTCTCATTTCTCCCCTCTTCCACTCCTCAAATCGTTCCATTCCAAAAATATTTCAATGAATTCGAAACATTTCACTACACTCAGAGGAAACAGAAGGAAGCATCTCCATTTGAATATGCCCCAAGCCTTCATCCCGGAGTTAGCTTGGTTTAAAGTGATGTTATACGTGGCAACCCAATGATCGGAAGATCTCTTTCATATGGCATCTGTGTGCCCATTGTTCCTTATGTTGGCAAACACTCCACAAGTGTGGAACACCATTTCAATGGCAAAGTACCAAGACCATCCTAACTGGTACCATGCCACAATGCAGGTCCAGCGTTTCTTGCAACAATTCAGGGCTTGTGAGAACCCTGAGTCGATATTTAGAGAAACGTTCGAAGTGTTTTTCATGAAGGGTATTTTGGAAGCATTGAATGGGATGCGCATTGCAGCCACAACAGGCCATATGGAAGGGGCATATCTAGTTGGACTACTTGGCATGTCAGGAATTGGTCGGTCAAAAGAGGATGCATTAGAATTCTTGTGTTCTTTGAATCAACGTAACAACATTGATATGAAAGGAACCAGGGATGCTTTGAGACGAAGATTAAGCCGAGTTTTCTCTGTTGGAAGGCATATCGTAGATATGTTTGACTATGGGAAGATTAAGTTCAATCACTGCAGCGCTTGTAACAACAATGAATGGCATTTTGTTATTCAAGGCTGGCCTATTGAAAAAAAGATAAATCTTGCCTTATGGACTTGTTGCAATCGATGCAAATGGCACCGTGAGAGTGTTTTTTGGTTCAAGGTGATGCGTGTTTATGTTGTGCCAGGGAATCCATACCCTTATAATTAGTTGTAGTATGTTTTTACGGTTTTTATGCATTGTGGACTTGCTTCTCTTCAGTTCTAAGTTGGCTGGCTACGTTGTACAAATGTTGTTTTTTATTTCATGTTTTAATCTATTTTGTTTGGTGTTTGTGCTGTCCTAAACCATTTTATATATAAATGTATAATATATGTTATATAGTGGAATAATTACTGACATAATAAACGGCTACGAATGACTTTTTACTGACACAGATATTTTCTAGAACTGCAATCTTAATATTTGGTAAATGAAAAGGCATGCATGGAGTGAGTATGTGTCTTTTCACCGGTGCTTGGGAATGACATTTTCCCACTTAGCATATCCCAAATGATTTGGTTACACGTTTCTTAAGCAAAACTTGAACAGTTAATGACTTTGAATAATTATTTCCTGATGTTGTACAATGGATGGCTTGTATATTTCCATTTTATTTTTCAAAACATCCCTTAAACCTAAAAAGGAAAAAAAATTAACAAATTGAAGAATAGAGAAACTGATTAGCACCAGAAATGGTCTATTCACACGGAAAATAAAAATAAAAATAAAAATTTGGAGTAAATATAATTAACAAATGTACAAGCTAAAAAGTAATATAACAATAATAATAATAATAATTTAGGATAAATAATAATAAAATACTAATGTAGCGTAACCATGAACCAGGGAATTCAGGAGGAAGATGAAGTCTCAATGAGTTTGTAGCAATTTTCGGAACATTATTGTGATTTTTGTGTATTTAGTTATGAATTTTCTAAGAAAAAGTAATAAAATAATAATTTATGGTAAAAGGTAAGGATGTGGCCATGTTGACTGACGTACACTTGTCAAGTGGTGAAAGGTGACGGGCTGAGATCGCGCCAGGTGTCCATTTGGCAATTATTTTGGCTTTTTTAGTGCAAAAATCTTTGAAAAAATGTAATAAATAGTAGAAAATTCCTAAAAATGCCTCGAAAAATATTCCGGCCTCCTTGTGACGTTATAAAACGAGGGGAACCCATAAATCATCCATTTCACAATGAAAATATCCAAATTTTTTTACATAACTCACTTTCCTATTAACCCTAAGTATATATGTTTGTTAACTTTAACTTCAATAACCTACTTCAACAAGCATCTCCCGTTAATGTTCGGAATTGTTTTTTAAAACGCGTAACTATGAATCAGGGAACTCAGCAAGGGAGATGGAGTCTCAATGAGTTCGTAGCAATTTTCGGATCATTTTTCTGATTTTTGAGTATTTAGTTATGAATTTTCTAAGAAAAAGTAATAAAATAATAATTTAGGGTAAAGAGCAAGGATGTGACCATATTGACTGACGTACACTTGTCAAGTGGTGAAAGGTGACGGGCTGAGATCGCGCCAGGGGTCCATTTGGCAATTATTTTGGCTTTTTTAGTGCAAAAATCTTTGAAAAAAGGTAATAAATAGTAGAAAAATCCTAAAAATGCCCCGAAAAATACTCTGGCCTCCTTGTGACGTTATAAAACTAGGGAACCTATAAATCATCCATTTCGCAATCAAAAAATCCAAACTTTTTTACATAAGTCACTTTCCTCTTAACCCTAAGCATATATGTTTGTCATTTTAACAAGTATATTTCCTTAATATTCGTTATATAATTTGTATTAATACAAGAATTAGTTTCCTTTCATATATAAGGATGTAAAATTATCTGTTTTGGTTATAATAATGTACATATATAATAATTTCACACTACTTCGAAGCCATCATTGCAACTGCGCCTAGAGCTTTGAACACGTCAGAGATATTCAATAAGTTGTCCATATGCAATTGCACCTAGAGTTTTGAACACGTCGGTGGTATTTAATAAGTTGTCCATATGAAGCCGTGTTGGGAATCATTAATTTATTTTCTATCATGTCCAATCACATAAACATATAATATAAAGAAATAAAGCAATAGTAGGAGATGAACCAGTACAAAAAACAATATATAACTGGTACAAAATAATGCCATAACCTTGTCACAAAAGCACTCGCAAATGCTTTTCCATAAACCTTGCCCTAACATATAATAGATAAAGGCAACATTGCATATGATGCAACCATGTCCAAATCTGATACGTGATCACAAAAAAATGGACATGGCAGCAACATATGACTGAAGTAGATGGGCACTTTGCATCTCGTGTTATCGTAATTAAAGACATCAAAATATTAAGGTTGAAATCTTCTATAGTAGTAAGCATCAAAATAGGTTTGAAGCAGAGTTTAACGAAAATTCCAATTCCTCTTATTTGCCTCTACTCAAACATGAGAACCAAAATGGTTACTTCCCTTGCTGAGTATATTTGTTAACGTCGGAAACGGTAATAGATGACCAATCAAACCTGGGTACAACGAGTTTTGCATAGGACCGGAAGTAGTCGAATCCAGCTTGCATCGCACGCTTCTTTGACTCCATTGCATTAGATGAGTTCTTGTATTTTTGAACAGCTACACTCCGAAGTCGTTTGTGTCTATGCTTCATGCGCTGCAAATTCGCCCTATCCAGATTGGCCTACCTTTTGTCACCTTCAATTTGGCCTTCAACAAATTCCAAACGTGCCCTTGCCCTTTGGATTTCATCACCAAGTTGAAGATGCCTCTCCTTCCAGAAAGCAAGAACTCTTTCAGACTCAAAACTTCCAACAAAATGGTCATTCTGTCTAGGAATGTGACATTGCTTGTCTGGTGATTCACGTGCGTTTCGAAGGCGGTCTTTGTTTGGAGGGGTGTTTATTATGGTCATATAAAACTTGGTTAGTAAATCCATTCAATGGGGGGAGAGAGTTTCTGTGGAGGAGAGAGTTTCTGTAAATGGAGACAAATTTGGTGGAGGAGTGAGTTTTTTGTGGAGGGAGAATTTCTATGAAGGGGGTGATAGTAATACCAATAAAAAAAAAAGGGTTCCCGCCAAAAAAACATTTGGTTGACAATGTATAAATTAAAAAAGGTCTCATACAATCTAAGTTTAATCCTAACTAGTTTGGTTAGTTTGGTTGGGTTCACTAACTAGATGTCACTTCCATTGAGTTTCTTTCAACCACTAACAGTGGTGTAAGGAGAGTGTGAGGTTGACATGCTTGAAAAGCAAAACCTGACACCTTTTTTTTTAAATTGAAATAAAGTACATATGTTGACTACACGCAAGCTTTGGTATGTTGGTCTATAAAGCTATGTTCCATTTCTCAAATGAAATTGCATATGCAATCCTCATCCTTTAAAACAAATAGGATTATTCAAGCATGTCAACCTCTTCAGGCACCAACAACACAATCGAAGATGAAAAATTGAAGTCGCAGGTTCCATTTCCACATTGTACTCGCCGACCCCTTCCATTTTCAACATCATTTGGGAGTGAGGGGGACTCCAATGATCCATTAGAGGCAATAGATGTAGTCAGTAGCAAACTGGATTATAATTCCAGACTGATCAATTCATGGCACGAGAAATGTGTTGAAGATGAGGCCATTTTGGCTGATCTTAACATTAGAGTGAACAAAGCGTTCTCCCAAAAGAACAAGTACTTGAAGCTAAGTCATAAAAGGAAGCTGAAAGCTGAGGAGTTGGATACAGTAATGAATGATGAAATTTAAGGTTGTTTGATGAACCATATGCGATGCGAAGAGCACCACAGTGAACTGGAGTTGGCATTCAATGAAGAATTCGAAAAATTCCGAGCATTTGCGGTAACTACTCATACAAGTTATAATTGGGACTATGTGTCCCCTGGGGCTATGAGAGAGATACTAGACGATGGTGGTAACATGAATCAGCATAAGCACGTCAAAGCTGCTCGGAAGAAGCCGACTGATACGACTAAGTGATTGCGGCTACAGCTGTTCAGTTGGTTGGGGGTGATCGTGGTATTGCACAAATTAGAAGTATATTCCCTTAATATCATTATCTAATTTAAAATAATACAAATATCAGTTTCATTTTCTTCATATATAATTATTGGGACTATGTCTTGCAAGTCATCATGTGTTCCTTCTGTCTAACATTATATTTTGTAAATATGGAAATATTATTCAATAAGCAGTCAATATCACAACACATTGAGAATCGGTAAAGCCCCATTGTCATGACACGTAAGTCATAAGTAACATACCATGTGCTATACATTGTTTAATGAATGGTTTATGGCTTATTTATATATATAATAAAATTCCAAATATTGCTAAATATTTATTTTGTCTATATCACTGGGGACATGAGTGACCATAAGCACGTGAGACCTGCTAAGAAGAAGCTGACCAATACGACCTAGTGATTGTGGCTACCGTTGTTCAGTTGATTGGGGAGATCGTGGTATTGTTAAGAGGGAGCACATAAAATGCTTTGCAATCAAATTTTCTTTTGTTTGTGGAATTATGAGTAGTTCAAATGTTAGTGTACCCTTTAATATTCTCCAACCATTCGAAATGTGATTAGCTGCAATGTACTTTTTTACACGTTGCTTTCTAATCTTTATGTTCCAACAAAGTGCTTCAAGTATCCTTCAGTTACGAATGTTTGCAAAATCGTGCACCTAATAACCAGTCGAGCTCAGATCTTAATAACCAGTAAAACACTAGAACATAACATTCGGAAAAAGTGGGTGCTGCTAGAAATGATGTGTGCTGCTGGAAATCATTACTGGTAATGGAAACAATAGCTGGCTGCTAGAAATGCTGCATTAGCCTGTCATATAATCAATGAATCTCTGTTAAAACATAATTCACCATAAACTACCCATTTTACAAGGTAAAAGTCATTGCTTCTTCACATAACTCAAAATTTGATACTTTATCTAATGTCTATGAAAATTTCTAAATAGGGAGAAGACTTAAAATTAACATGTGTCCAAATTTCATGCAAGAATGAAATGACAGGACCCGACCCAAATTCCACTTTGGTATCCGAGCCGAACCCTGTTCGTGATCGACACCTGGCGGGTGCCGAGCACAATTGACTTGGTTGCCCTTTTTCTGATTAGAAACTTAATTCCCTTAAATCTTAACTTCTACCGAAAATTCGGCAGAGTCTCCCCTGTAATTCAAACGTTCCCAAAATTATACCTGTCAACAAGCACTTAAATATATACACCAACTGCCAGCATACAAAATAAGTAAGTTCCAACAGTTAAATACGTTCCAGGGCAATGTCAGAGCAACTATACAGATTTATTTACAAGGATGTAACCACTTGTGAAGCAAGGAACCCTACATCAAAACGAGGAAGAGCGGGATGCGGAAATGCCCGGTGGTGGCTCTCAGATGCACGTCTACAGCCTGGGGGCGCAAAACATTAAAAAGGTGAGTGGACCCAAAAACAAAGTTTAGAAAATACATATGAACATACTAACCCCACTGTAAAAGCAATTATAAAAACTAAAATCATTCTCTTCTGTATATACGTACTGAAACCAATGCACTCATATATACATATATAAATATGTCAATCATATTCATGGTCAACATCAATCTCTTAAAAGCATTGAAACCAGTTTAAAACTACCACTTAGGTGTACCCCTTTATTTCCGTCAATTCCCGTTATCCGTCAATTCCCCTCGCATCACCATTGGTGACACGTCCTCGCAGGTCTCGGTGACATAAAGTCAATCCGAGCTGCAACCTCGCAGGATTCAGGGGACCTTGGTCAACCTGATCCGCGTCCTCGCTCCACACGAGTCCGGGTACCATAGAACTCGTGGGCAGCTGTCAAGCATGCTGACTAAACTGAAGGTAACTGATAAAATCCGAAGGCAACCTGGATGTCCGTGGACATCATCATATCCGAAGGCAACATCTGTATATCTGGGTACCTCAAGTGGCTTAGAAAATAACAATAACAATAATAATAAGCAAAGTTTTGAAAGATCTGGTAAATAATTGAATTTCCGTTAAGATTGGACTCTGCTGCCATTTATCTGATGTTTAACAAAAATTCTCTCTCTATATCCCTAAAGGATATTCCACTCGGCAGCATGCAAATCATAATATTTAAAAGCATGTCTCATTAATAAAACATTAGTCTTTGAATAAAACTTATTCAAGATCAAATACTGAAACTGAATTGCATAAATTCATTTATGAAAACAAAGAGTCCACTCACGGTTGGTCCGAGCTCGCTGGACCTTTGGAAGGTCCCTCCTGCGGGTCAACTGGTGCCCGAGTGCCTGATTCAAATATCATAATAAAATATATTAATAAAACTGCTTGATATAAATATTTACATAAAACCCTGACCCCCGGCTTCTAGAAGTGCGTGCATCAATTTAAAGTTATTCCTATGCCCACATTACGTTCCTTTAATCCTAGGACATTCGTCCCGTGAATCTGGTTTCGATCGGACGGTTAGATTCGTCACGATCACACGGTCGACGATTCTAAACCCTTAACCCTAGGGTTTGCGATTTCGGAGTATCCGGGACTCCGATTCACGATCCGTCGAATCCTACACAATCCTGGCAAGGTCTAGATTAACATATCTGAAAGTGATCATGATCCAACGGTTCGAAACTATTGAACCCGGATAACGCACACAATGTAAAAGTCCGCTTAACACTCAAACGACGTCCGAATTGAGATCCGCGAATTTCTACACGCTCGTGAGAAAACGAGGATCATTCTGAAACTGAGAGTGGTCCCCTCCAGACTGCCCACGCGCCGCCACACGCGCTGGCAGCTTGGGTGGCTTGAGAAATTTCCGGTGGCCGGAAAAAACTCCAAACCGCCGGCCCAAACTCCTAACTTAGGTAAAACACCCAATTTGGAACCACTTTTGTTCTTGGACCTACCCCAAAAAGTGATCGGAAGTGGCCGGAATCACACTCTCAAAACCGGCTGAAACTTAAGTTGAGAATCGAACGATCTATGCTTGAAATTTCTAAAATCCTACCCAACCAGCAGCTAAGTCACGAAAAATAGGTAGGAATCCATACCTCACTCGTCTGATTTGGTGGAGAATCGAGGGAGAACGAGCGATGAGAAAATCTGTCAAAACCCGCACGATTTTCTGCGTTTTCCGGTGGCTGCTGGCGGTGGTTACGGCTGAGCTTGGTCGGACTTGGAAGAGGAAGCGGCGGTGGTTCGATTGGGTCCGGTCTCGTCGGCCGGAGTGGAGTGTGGCGGTGGTTATGGAGGAGAGAAGGTGGCGGGTTGAAACAGGGGGGGGGGCTGTGTCGTGAGGAAGAAGAGTGAGGCAAGAGAGAGAAAGTCGGTGGTTTAAAAAAAATCCTGATCTCGAAAATTACCATTTTGCCCTTGGAAGTATTTTGACCGTATTTTCTTCGTTATAACTCCAAATCGAGCCCACTACGTGTCTACGGACTCGTTTCGTCGCGCTCTACGCAACTGTGCAAACAAAATTCCCAAACTCATCTCCGGTCAAAAAGTCAACTTCTTAATTACTAAAATAGTCTAAGGGCAAAAGTGTCATTTTTCCTTAATAAACTACTAGTTAAATATTAATTAAAGTTTGGGTTATTACATGAAACCAAGCAAATTTTCATTTCAATTATCAGTGGACATAGTAAGAGCTCATCGGTGGACATGAACAAAAAAATAATAATAAAAAAACTGCATCTAGAAGACTTCACCTCATCATTAGTCTTCATAATAACCGGGCTCCGTATAACATAAATCATTGAGTTGGTCCGTGCATCCTGTAAAATTCGTCGAATAATGGGTCACTAAGATTTATTGGAGTTGATTCGTCATTGTTCGACGGTGATGTCCTGCATAAACATCAAACATAAGCACATAAAAACTTTACCTATTCAAATTTTAGGTCTTATTATAAATAGTGTTAACATCTTACGGTGTGTTCAAATTTCTTGGGCATTGTCTTCTATCATGACCAATGTGTCCACACTCCCGACAGTGTCTAATCCCTCGCTTCATTGCCTTTTCCTTTGCTCCCATTACTCGTTTCAACCCTCCATTGCACCTTACTCTCTTAGGGTCTTTCATATATTGTGTTTGAGAGTTGGACTCTCCAACTTCGTTATTACTTGGTCCATCCTTCAACAACTTCAACTTCACCCGCAAACTTCTTAGAGTCTCTGACAGTAGCTCACATCCTTCTTCACATATTAATGCATCCTCAACCACATCTGAAGCAAGTCGGGACATTGTACTCCGCTTTATTAAAAGACCAAGATCTGTAGAGTCTTTAATTTCGTTGCCATTTGCATCTGACACCAATCCAGATTTCGCAGTTTTCTTCCACCTCTTCAAAATGTATTTATTGGGCATATATTCAATCTGGTCCCTTCTGAACAATGCTAGGATGTGCTTGCAAATAATTCCAAGAAATTCAAATCTTTTGCAGCTACACGATGCGTGGTCAGAATCTTTGACATATATGACTTCTGCCACTCTTGTTTCCCAATTTTTCCTTTCGCTCAAATTAAAGACAACTTTAGAAGCATCCTCTGTTTTGGGCTCTAGGAAACATGCTGTACTTTGTATTAGTTCTTGGTCAAACTTTTGAAACATTGTCCTTGTGTACAAGGTAGCCATTTGTTTGTTCATTGGCATCGGTAGAATACATTGAGCCACTTCAAATGCATCTACGTGATTAGCAACGAACTCTTTTTGACGTTGATGAGAAAGTGCCCTCTCAAATCGTATTATGAAATCCATCAACGAATTTCTCCTTGATATGTATTGCTTGAAGAAACCATGAGAACCTTCCGCTCTTTGGCTGCTTGATATTCTAACGGCAAAAAAGTGTCGTGCATAGGCTGGAACCCAAGATTCCCTTAAATCAAACATTGAACTTAGCCATGGATGGTCAGTCAAACCAGCCTTTGTAACCACACTATTCCATTTTGCATCAAACTCATCCTTATTGTCAGTATCTCATATGGCTTTCTGGAATTCATGCCAATACTCCTTATAAGCAGAATGTGGTAACTTAATAGAGAACTTTGATGTGATATGCCATATGGAAAGTTGATGAAATGTAGTCGGGAAGGCTATTGAAATCGCTTTAGTCATTGCCGCATCTTGATCTGTAATGATTGTTTTAGGTTCACCACTTGGCATGACTTTCTTAAACTCCTCAAACATCTAAATAAACGACTCAGTCGTTTCCTTGCTCAAAAATGCGCATGCTAAGACAATTGTTTGACCATGGTTATTAACTCCCAACATTAGTGCAAATGTCAAGTCATATCGATTCGTGTTGAATGTGGTATCGAATACAACAACACCTCCATAAAACCCATACGCTCGTCTAGAAGTTGCATCTGTCCAAAAACATCGACTAAACCTGTTATCGCCATCTCCCTCAATCTTGAAATAAAAAGCCTCATTTTTTTTCTGTTCAGCCATAAAATACTCGGTCACTAGTTCAATATCGTGGTTCCTCAGCTTCCCATTCACACTACATTCAAGATTGTAGATATCTTTTCTGATAAAACCGATTTTATCCATTCCTCCGGACTGCACCACGAAAATACTTACCTTCTGATTAATGAGAATATTAACCGAACCCAACTGTTTTGTGAGTACTTTTGTAGAATCTGAAATACGACGGTGTGATCCCAATAAATGTATTCTTTCTGAGGGTGTCATCTTATGATTGTGTCCCTCTGCAAAAAGAGAGATGGTATACTTCTTGCTCCCATTTTCCTTCACAACCGCAATCTTAGCTTTGCAATTGCATCTACTTATTCCCCGCTGTCTTTTTCTCTTCCTAGTTTCATCTTTCCTGTATGCACCTTGTTTGCAACATACAAATTCTTTCCTCAAAATCTCTTTCTTATTTTCCCCCAAAAGCTGGAATGAAGTCGAATACCAAAGCCAACCAAAAATGCATATATATTATAGAAATTATAAACGAGGTCAAGCGAGTCAAACTTCATCCCAACTGCTAGTGTTTCCTTATTTCTTACTTTAGGAATGTAAACCCTCCCATTAGCTGTTACACAGTCATCACTCTCTGAGCCCCTAGACATTTTATCCACGTATATTATTGATCTACTTCTATATTACTGCATAGCAAATATTAATTCATTAATCAATTATTCCTGCATCACAACATATCAATGCATTCCACTTACACAAAACATTTCCCAAATTGACACAAAACATGCATAGCCTAGCTTGTTGGATTCCAATTACACAAAACTCAAGCAAAATTTAATAATAGTTACGTCATCTCTTGTGAAATAATCTGGAAAAAATAACATTAGAACCAACATGTTCAACTAAGAACACAAATGTAATTCAAACTAGCAATTACAGAACTTCACCCAATATCCTCTCCAAATGCTTACTCCTAATGCCATTAAGCCTAAGTTTAGGATCTTTTACCTACATTTCATAATTATCCACACACACACCCCCCCCCAAAAAAAATCAACTAAGTATATTGAATATTCATAAGGAAATGATGCATTATTGATAGCAGAAATGACGCATTATTGATTCCACAAATGACGCATTATTGATGCCACAAATGACGAATTTCCCACCCTCACAAAAAACAAACCAAACCTAACAAAATCAATCTAGCAAGAGTGAACTTACCTCTCAAAGTCAATCGGGAGCTCCGAAGTCAGTCAGCTTGAGAGAATGTGGTGGACATTAGAGAAGCTTCTTTGGTAGTGGAGACTCCATCTCTACCAAAATCGAGAAACAACTGCTGCTGCGGTGTCTAGCTACAGAAAGAGATATGCTACTTTGCTTTCATCTGGAATCTCGTCTGCTGAACGAAAAAGAGAAGGGGTTTTCACTTGAGCCATAGAATCAAAACAGGGCAATAGCTAGGTAAGAGCCATTAATCGTCATACCGAGGATACCATAGATCGCAGGCCTCCCAAGGAGCTAATGACAATGGAGCGACTATAGGGTTTGGGAGCTTTGGATATTTCTAATTGTGGGCTTGCATTACATTCAAAAAGAGAGGATTGTGTTCTTGAGTTTTTCACAGAGAAGGAAAAATCTTCAACTGAAGTTGGGTTTCCAACGGGTCAAATTTCAACCCGGTTCTACATGCACCCTCTTTTAAAAACTCACCGTTGGATGAAATCCAATGGCTCTTACATACCCCTAAAAAACATCCCTTATAACTTTCCACTCACTATAGAAGCCCCCAAAACTGTCATTGATTTCTTAAAACAAACCCAACTCAAAAACCTCATAAAAAAGCTCAAAACACTCAATGGGACATCAAAGTAATTTAATAATTAAAATTAAATTCAATAGTGCAAGCTGTCATTTTTTGGGTGTTTTTTGGGTATGTTAATAGAAATTAAATAGTGTAGAGTTTATTTATAGTTTTAGTGCTAAGAAGGGGATTTTTTTTTTTTTTTTTTTTTTTTTTTTTTTTTCAACGTTCTTTCATACACTTTGCAATCATAGAGAACAATGCATGTTTAAAAAGAAATATATTAAGCATACATGGGTTAGGCCATTTGTCGAAAATAGCGTGCCCGGCAACCCCGGTCCCTTAAACCCGAGCTTAATCCCCCTCTTAGTAGTTTAGTTTAGAATATCAATTTGTAAAATATATATAGGGTATATAAAAATTATATTTAAAACATCTGAGTAACAATTATTATTTTTATTAGTTTCTTTAATATGTGCTTCCAAAATTAGTTATATCTAACCAATATTCATTAGATATAAGTGATTGCTGTATTTTTCTTTTTGGTCAAAGAATACATTTTCGGTTTGTTTATTACCTATCAAATATGCTAGACATGAGTATATGCCCTTTTTAATATTATATGAAGGGCAATGCTGCTCATATAAACAAATTTGAATTGCTATTTCTTTAGTTTTCCTTCTTACCCTCCTCATCCAGAGCTCCCAGTTTTTAGTATAGTCTTAGCTTGACCTCTGAAGATATGGTTTGAGGTTAAAGAGCAGTCTGATATGGAGAATGAGGCGGAGTTGTTTTATGATGCTAGTTTTGATATTATTTAAAATAGGGTTTCATTAGGTGGAGATGAAGAAGACAATGGTGGTTGCAGTGGTTTGTAAATGGTAATTACTTTGAGGTTAAAAATTGTGGAAGCTTTGGATAATTACAGAACATTCGAAGAAAACCGAGTATAACCGCGCGACTATACTGTATTGACTCGTGCCAAAGCGAGCGCTAGCGCCAGACGAGTTATTTTTTTATTAAAAATCGTATAGCCGCAAGGCTATACTATTTTTGACACGTGGCAAACCGGGCGCTAGGCCCTAGAAGCCAGGAGGGTGGCCCTTTCTAAACAGTATAGCCGTGCGGCTATACTTTGGGTTAGTTTTAATAAAAATTGTATAGCCGCTCAGCTATACTATGGTTTTTATTATAAAAATTTTATAGCCGGTCGGCTATACTATTTTTTTTTTTTTTTTGTAATCATTTAGTATAGCCGCGATTTTTTATTTAAAAAAAATAGTATATCCCGTGCGTTTTACAGTGGGCGCTAGCGCGAGTCCCGCTGTCCTTTTTTAATTATAAATAGTATAGCCACGTGGCTATACGCGGGATTATTTTTAATAGCCCAGCAATACTTCTGTTTATATTATTAAAAAATAGTAGAGCCGTGTGGCTATACGATTTTTGACATGTAGAAAAATGAACGCTAGGCGCCAGTCGGGCCATTTTTTTTAATAAATAGTATATCCGTTTGGCTATACTTGGTTTTTTTTAGCAAAAAGAGTATAGCCGATTGGCTATACTACAGTTTTTTATTATAAAAAATAGTAATAGCCGAGTGGCGATACGCATTTGTTTTTTTTTTTTTTTTTTTTTTTTTTTTTTTTTTTTGGAAAAAAAGAAATAAGTAATGTTATTTATTGTTTACATTAATTACAATAAAACAAATATGACAGAACTTCTAACACTACATACGATAAAGAAACCCACTTCTGATATCCTTCAACAAATTGGTTTCTTGCTTCCCAAGTACTGTCGTTTGTTTGAGTAGATGTCATTATTGTCTGCTTCACCTCAGTGAATGCAATTACATCAGGCACGGTGATATCAACACCATTGAGAATGCATAGCCAACATTAGTCACTGTCCCTGTGTCTGGGACTGGGACCGTATGCAACCGAAAATGAAGGATAGTTGAGTTGTGCTACAGGTATGCCTTTTGGACTTTAGCACTGTATGTTGTGTTGTGTGATCATACCTATCTCATTGTCTATAAGATTCAAGTCACAAAAGTAATTGCCATACTCATCAGGATGGATGTCGTAGACTAACCTCATATCGCTTGCTTTTGATGGGTTAACATGTCCAGCACCAATAGCAATGAATTTGGCTGGAAGAAGATCGGAATTGTGGGAGCACATTTCGTCCCACTAGAATATTCGTCTAAGATTCCTTCGTCTTCTCCACTTCTCTTTCTCCCTGTAAAACAAATCGGGGTAAAAGGACCACACCCGGGGGGTGTTGGCCAAAGGCCCTCCGATGCCTAAGTTAGGTTGGGTATTTCAAGGAAAACCGGGTGGCCGGAGCCGTGTGTGGTGGCCGGAGCCTTGTGTCAGAGAGAGAAAGAAAGTGGTGTCTAGGGTTTGTGAGAAATAATTTCTGCAGAGTTTCAGTAGGAATTTAGACGTACCTTCACCGTTGTGTGTGGCCATATTTTTATAGTGGTCTCGGAGGCTAGGGTTTTAGAGGAATAATTCCGTAGTTGGTAAGGAATTATTCCTCCCCGATTTAGCATTGATTTGATTAATTAGGGATTTGATTTATTAGGGTAAGTCAAATCCCTAATTGTGGTAGGAATCAAATCAAATCTCAATTTAATTAGGCAATTATCAATTTAATTGAGTAACTCCCAATTAGGTTGAGTAATTCCCAATTAGGTCAAATAATCCCCAAATGGAAGGAATTATTTGACCTAGGGTTTTGATTTAATGGGTTCCCACAAATGCCCCCCCAGCTTCTGCATGGCGTGTGGCGGCATGTAGGAGATGTGAATTATCTGTTGGGTTGTCCAGCTGTAACTGGGCTTCCTTCTTTGATTTGGGCTCCTGCATGGAGGAGGTCTTTGACTTGCCACTTTGGTCTTTTAACTTGGGTTGTCCAGCTGTAACTGGGTTGGAGGCGAATCGGCCTACTGCTGGAGCAGGTGGCAATTTGGGTCGGCTTATTTGTGGTTGATCCAAACTGCTTCAATTCCTTCTTTTTGTGTCACGAACTAGGAATAGTATGAGTGAAGGCGATCATGTGTGTAGCACGGACGTGTTGGATGTCAGCGGCAGATGGGTAGGGGAGGTTGGCGATGGTCCGCTCGTTCCTCTCACCTATTGTGATGGTAAGTTGCATCCCTTTGATCTGCTACAGTAGCCATGGAATTCTTTACTGTGTGTCTGACTGACTTCTGTCTTCTGCTTGTAGGAAATGACATCCACAAGAAGCTCTATCTCGGCCCGAACACGATCAATATTCATCAAGCTTTAAACATTCTTGCCAGGTTCTGTGGATTGCGCTGGTTGCTGAGTGAACATCAGAAGGAGGCTGATGGTCTGCCCCCAGCCGAAGATGTTGAAAGATGGGAGCTGCATGGCTCGGACCTAGATGATCTGCCAGTTAAGCGGGAGAAGTCCTCATAAGGGGGTCTCGTCTGCTGGGAATGTCCCTATGGGAGTTGCTTCTTCATCTGCCAGGATCAAGCGCCTCGTCAGCAGGAACAGTAAGAAGATCAATGACATGCAGAAGGTCCGGGATATTCTACTCAGGTATCCGCTCAAACTGCCTAAAACCCATGATCTACCCTGTGAGGAGGCTGTTGAGAAGCAGGGTTTGAGTTGCTTGTGCCGATCCTGGGATCAAACTGAGAGGACTGTACATCTGTCTAGCAATCACGACTCGTCTGCAAAGCCACGAACAGTCAATCATGGAGCTGACTCAATGTTGCAAGTTACGTCCAAGAGAGCTAAAGAGTCGTCTGCTCAAGCAAAGAGTCCTTAAGTTGCGCGAACTGCCGATCCAGAAGTTGGTGATAGCTCCGCTGGTCAAGTTCGACACTCATGTTGAAGCTACGGAGGCATCCAAGCATGAGATTGTTGCTAATGCGTACAAGCTGGGATACTTGGATTGCAAGAATAGTGCTTCTCCTTGTTGTCCTCTTGAACATGAAGACGGTAAGCAGCTTTATCTTGACCTGCCCTCTGCTCAAAGTGAGCAGAGCAATGTTGTTTAAGTAGAAGCAGTTGAAGAGAAGATAGCAGATGAAGCTGCAATGGAAAAAGACAACTCCCAAGGTGGCGTAGCTGATAAGGCTAGACCATATGCGAAGGAGTAGGCAGGTGAGGCCGTTGAGTAGATGGTATTGGTTGGCTGCTTTATTATGGAATTTTCAGTTGTCTTTCAAACTTCAATTCTCATTGTATCTTGTAAGTGTACATTCAGAGACATAGCACTTGAAAGAGACTCCATTGAGTTTGTACTCGCGAAATAGCTTGCCTACAATGGAAGTAAGGCTCATCGCCTGTGTGCGTATGTCGGGGACATGACGCTTGAAAAGACTCCATGAAGTTTGTACTCGAGGAGTAGCCTGCCTTCAGTGGAGGTGAGGCTTGTCGCCTGCGAGCATATGTCAGGGACAAAATGCTCGAAAAAGACTCCATTGAGTTTGTGCTTCGAGGAGCAACTTGTCTGCAATGGAGATGAGGCTTGTCGCCTGTGAGTGTATGTCAGGGACACAATGCTCGAAAAAGACTCCATTGAGTTCGTGCTTCGTGGAGCAGCTTGTCTGCAATGGAGATGAGGCTTGTCACCAGCGAGCGTATGTCAAGGACACAATGCTCCAAAAAGACTCCATTGAGTTAATGCTTCGTGGAGCAGCTTGTCTGCAATGGAGATGAGGCTTGTTTCCTATGAGCGTATGTCGGGGACATAATGCTCGAAAAAGACTCCATTGAGTTTGTGCTTTGTGGAGCAGCTTGTCTGCAATGGAGATGAGGCTTGTTGCCTGTGAGTGTATGTCAGGGACACAATGCTCGAAAAAGACTCCATTGAGTTCGTGCTTCGTGGAGCAGCTTGTTTGCAATGGAGATGAGGCTTGTCGCCTGCGAGCGTATGTGAGGGACACAATGCTAAAAAAAGACTCCATTGAGTTCGTGCTTCGTGGAGCAGCTTGTCTGCAATGGAGATGAGGCTTGTCGCCTACGAACATATGTCAGGGACATAATGCTCGAAAAAAACTCCATTGAGTTTGTGCTTCGTGGAGCAGCTTGTCTACAATGGAGATGAGGCTTGCTGCCGGCATGTGTATGTTTGTAAGACACAATGCTCAAAAAATTACTTCATTGAAAAGCTTGCTCTTGTATTGATGTTGGTGTGAATACATTGCTTTATTGAATAAAGGAAATTAACAACAAAGGTAACATCAAAAGTAGTTCGTCTTTAATGGAAGTACAGGAGGGTCGTCGCCTGCTAGGAGCCAAGCTAGTAAGCGAAGAGTTTCATGGATAGTATCTCCGAAGGTGGTGGGCATTCCATTGTCTCGGAATTTCTTTTCCTTCTAGAGTATCAAGGGTGTAACTTCCTCTGGCCCCAGATCGGCTGATCACGTAGGGGCCTTCCCAGTTTAATCTTTTTGACCCTTGCCTTGGTGCTGTGATGAAAGTTTTTCTAAGCACAAGGTCTCCAGGCTGAAACTGTATGATCTTGGCCTTCCTATTGTAGTAGGACGTCAACTACTGCTGGTAGGCGGCAACTCGAACAATGGCCTTTTCTCGTTCTTCTTCAAGCAAATCAAGGTTGACTTTCATCTGCTTGCAGTTTTGGTCAAGACTGCCCACCTCAATGCTCATGGAAGGGACTGTGATGTGTGGGGGAATGATTGCTTCTATCCCATAGGCCAGGGAAAATGGTGTCTCTCCGATCAATCTCCTTTTGGTCGTGCGATAAGCCCATAGGACTCCTGGTAGCTCGTCGACCCATTTTCCTTCTACGCCTTCCAGTCTTTTTTTTAGGCAGTCCAGCACTATCTTGTTGGATGCCTCTGCTTGGCCATTGCCTTGCGGGTATCGGGGTGTTGATAGGTGCTGTTTGATGTCATACTTTGCAAAGAATGAGGTGATCTGCCTGCCCACGAACTGTGTACCATTATTGGTGACTATCGATTGCGGGGAACCGAATATACAAATAATGTTCTTCAAGATGAACCGTTGAACATCGGCCTCCTTGGTAGAAAATAAAGCCTCGGCCTCGATCCATTTGGTGAAGTAATCAGTGGCAATGATCATCATCTCTTTATTGGTAGGTGCCATCGGCATAGGTCCCACCAAGTCAATGGCCCGCTGCATGAATGGCCATAGACTGTTCTGCGGATGGTATTCCTCAGGGGGCAGGCCAGGGACCGGCTTGTAGCGTTGGCATCGATCACATCTTCGAGCATACTCTATGGAGTCTTGGCGCATGGTAGGCCAGAAATAGCCGATGCTGAGAGCCTTCTGAGCAAGCGATCTGCCCCCAGCATGATTTCCACATTCGCCATCGTGTATCTTGCAGAGAACCTCGAGCGTTTGCGGGTACTTGATGCAAGTGAGATGAGGCCCGGAGTATGATCTACGGATAAGCATGTCGCCTTTCATGTAGTATCTTGCAGCCTTCTGCTTGATTTTTCTGGCCTCGGACTTGTCCTCGGGCAGGTTTTCATTCACTAGATAGTCAATGATAGGGTCTTGCCAACTAGGATCCTCATCGATCTGCATTAGGTTCGGCTACTCTGCCTCTTCTATGCTAGGCTGGTCGAGGTGCTCGATAGGGATGGAGCGTCTGAACTGGGTATCCAGCGCCGATCCTAAGCTTGCCAGTGCTTCTGCGTGCGCGTTCTCTGCTCGGAGCACTTGTTGGATGGTGAAGGTGGGAAACGCCTTCAACAACTCTTGGACTTTGTCAAGGTACAAGATCATCCTCGGGTGCTTCGCCATGTATTCTCCTGAGGCTTGACTTGTGATCAGCTGGGACTCTAAGTAAATGGCCAGGTTTTTGATTGATAGCTCCTTTGCCAAGTGCAAGCCAGCGAGCAATGCCTCGTACTCTACCTCGTTGTTTGAAGCTGGGAAGCCAAGCGTGATAGCTTGCTCTAGCAAGGTTCCATCCGGGGTGATGATGACGACGCCTGCTCCAGCTCCTTTCTAGTTCGATGCTCCGTCTACGCGCAACTGCCACATGTCTCTGGGTTAGTCAGGTTCAGTAGAGGTCTTGTCTGCTCTCGAACTTTCCTTCTTTTTGCTGACCAGCTTCTCTTCTTCGGCTAATGGTGTGAATTATGCAACAAAGTCTGCTAAGGCTTGGGCTTTTATTGCAGTCTTATTGGCTTAGCTCTATAGCCCACTTCATGAGTCACTGAGAAGCATCAGGGCTGTGGAGGATTGATCTCAAAGGAAAGTTGGTCATGACGATGACTCGGTGAGCTTGGTAATAAGGTCGCAGCTCTCTCGCAGAAACTACAAGGGCCAAAATGAGCTTCTCCAATTTCGGGTAGCGAGTCTCTGCATCGAGGAGAGCTTTTGACGTGTAGAATATAGGATGTTGGGCCCCAAGTTCTTCTCGGATGGGAGCTGAGCTGACGGCCGAGTTAGACACTGCCAGGTACACGAACAAGTCTTCTCCAGGAACTGGCTTTGAGAGCAGGGGAGGTGAAGTGAGGCAGGTCTTTAGATTCTGGAAAGCTACTTCGCACTCTTCGTCCCATTTGTCTTTTTGTCCCTTCTTTAAAGCTTTAAAAAATGATCTGCACTTGTTGGAAGATTTTGAGAGCAATCTGTTGAGGGCCGCTGCTCTGCCCATCAGGCTTTGTATTTCCTTCACTGTGGAAGGCGACATCATCTCGAGAATGGCTTTGATTTGGCGCGGGTGTGCCTCGATACCTCGTTGCGTCACTAAGTACCCCAGGAACTGGCCAGATGATACACCGAACTTGCATTTACTTGGATTCAACTTCATGTGATATTGGCGGAGCCGGCTGAACGCCTCAGTGAGGTTTTTGAGGTCGTTTGCCCGTTTGGGGGCTTTAACCAGCATAATGTCCACGTACACCTCCATGGTTCTGCCGATCTGCTTCTTAAAAATTTTATTCACAAGCCTTTGGTAGGTTGCTCCGGCATTCTTCAGCCCAAAGGGCATGACCTTGTAGCAGTAGGTCCCTCTTTCGATGATGAAAGAGGTCTTCACCTTGTCATCATCGTACATCATAATTTGATTATACCCGGAGTAAGCATCCATGAAGCTGAGCAGCTAATTGCCGGAAATTGAATCCATGAGCTGGTCGATTCTCGGCAATGGGAAATTGTCTTTAGGGCATGCTTTGTTGAGGTCGGTGTAATCGACGCATACTCTCCATTTTCCCTTTTCTTGTTTCGCCACCAAGAACAACGTTGGCCAGCTATTCCGAGTAGGAGACCTCTTCAATGAAACTGACAGCTAGGAGCTTATCAATCTCGGCTTCAATGATCGTGTGACATGCTCGGGAGCAAAGTTACGTCTCTTCTGCACCATGGGCTTGCTAACAGGGTTGACATGGAGCCGGTGGGAGATGATGTTTGGGTCGATGTCGGGCATGTCAGATGGTGACCACGCGAACATGTCTTTGTTGTTCTGGAGGAAGATGGTCAGCTCCATCTTCTCGTCTGGGCTTAGGCACGAGCTGATCCGCGCTTTCTTGTCTGGCTGGTCAGGATCGAGGGGTACTAACTCAACTTCTTCCTCAGGCTTCCAACCTTTTTCAAGGGAGTCTTCCGGGTGGATTCCCTCATCTCGATCCTTATTGTTTGGATTCTGAAGCTAGCCGATTTGCGCTTCCTTGTCTAGCTGATCAGGGGGGGGGGGGTGGGACTAACTCAACGTCTTCCTCAGGCTTCCAACCTTCTTCAAGGGAGCCTTCCGAGCGGATTCCCTTGTCTCGATCCTTCTTGTTTGGATTCTGGCGCGAGCCGATTTGCGCTTCCTTCTCTGGCTGATCAGGATCGGGGGGTACTAACTCAAAGTCTTCCTCATGCTTCCAACCTTCTTCAAGGGAGCCTTCCGGGCGGATTCCCTCGTCTCGATCCTTCTTGTTTGGATTCTAGCGTTAGCCGATCTGCACCTCTTTTTCTGGCTGGCCAGGATCAGGGGGTACTAACTCAATGTCATCCTCAGGCTTCCAACCCTTTTCAAGGGAGTCTTCAGGGCGGATTCCCTCACCTTGATCCTGGCTCCTTAATTGCTATTGTGAGGCAGCAACTCCTTTCCCTTTCGGGTTTGCTTGTCTGCTAGGAGCGCTTCCTGCCTCGTTGGCAGCTTGCATTACTAGTGTGAACTGCAGCTGCTTGCTCTTCTTGAGCCCTTGGGCTGTGCATCTCCTTGCCATGGCTTGGTCACCGTTAATCTACCCAATCCCGCCCCTAGGGATGGGGTAGCGGATCTTCTGATGTAGAGCAGATGTGATGGTCTCGATCTTGCTGATCCACGGTCGGCCCAAGATTCCGTTGTAGGGGGAAACCTCGTCGATGACCATGAAGGTTTGTGAGTAGACCACTGGGTGTCAGTGGACGTCAACGTCGATCATTCCAACAGTGATTGATGTGGCTCCATTGAAGCCGATGAGCGATCTGGCAAGTTTGCTAATCTTGGGCTCTAACCCCATCTGTTGGATAACAGATAGTTGCAGGATGTTGGCTATGCTACCCTCATCTACATGAACTCGCTCGCTCACAGCTTGTTCAATTTGGATGCAGATGATTAGGGCGTCATTATGTGGCAGGTCAAGCCCGATCAAGTCCTTCTTCTGGAAGCCGATGATGGGTGTATCCACAATGGCTGGTACTCCCGTTGTGACTTGGGAGACATAAGTTGCCTGAGCAATCTTTCTCTTACGCTCCTTGGTGGTCAGCCCAGACTCTTGGGAGTCAGCTAGAATGGTGTTGATTCGAATGACCTTTTGAGGAGGTTCCTTGGTAGTTGCATCACGATCCTCGATCTGCTAGATGGCCTTCTTTGCAACAAATTCTGTGCAATGGCCTTCTCTGACTAGCTCCTCAAGGTGCATTTTCCAAGCATTGCAGTTGTTGGTGTAATGACCGTGCTCCCCGTGGAATGCACAGTATTTACTGGTGTCCCTATTAGAGGGGTCTCCCTTCATGGGTGGTGGTCTCCTCACCCACGGCTTGTCCTTCACCTGAGCTAGGATCTAGTGGATTGGGATAGTGAACTCAGTGAAGGTCCTTGTTTCTGAGCTTCCCTCTTGGGGCCGCGATCTGCGCTTATCCCGGGCTTTTTGCTCGAACTTGTTGCTCTTTTGGCTTGCCAGCTTCGTCGGGTGGTCAACTTGCTTGCTGGCTTTCTTTGCGGCGATACGATCATCGTCCCAAAGTGCATAGCGCTCTGCCGTCACAAACACTTCCGCCAAGGTTTGACTTGGAGTTATGGCCAGCTCCCGGTATAGCTCGTGCTCGGCTGGCAAGCCCTTCTTGAAAGCTAAGGATGCAACTTGGTCATTGCATCCTATGATGTTAGCCTTCTCAGCCTTAAACCGTCTCAGGTGGTCTCGCAGAGACTCGTCTGGCTTCTCGCGCAGGTTGAACAGGTGGTCCGCATGCTTTCTGACTGTCTTGTAGGAGGTGTACTCCTTTGTGAAAATGATGCCGAACTCTTTGAAGTTGCCTATCGATGCGGACGGCAGAGCGTGGAACTAATCTTGAGCTGCTCCTTGCAGAGTCATCACGAACACTTTGCACATCAGGGTGTCGTCTACCTTGTACAGGATCATAGCGCTCTTAAAGTGCCTCAAATGGCTCTCAAGGTTAGAGTCCCCCTTGAATGGAGTGATGGATGGCGTTGTAAACCGCTTCGGCTGTGGAGCTCGTTCCACCTCGTGCTTCCTTTAAGTCGGAGACCTTGGAGTTGGTCATTTACTAGCTTCTCGACATCCCCTGCCTGCAGGGATGGAGTCTCGGGCCAACGTCTTCGGTGCCTCGAGCGCGACTTGCTAACTTCTTCCTCGGTTCCCAAGGGTCGATCCCCTCGGGTACTCTACCCGTGGGGCAGATTAGGAGATTGAGCTTGTGAGGATTCCTCTGTAGCTTGTCGCCGCGTGTTGGGCCTCGAGCGGGCTGGTGGGCGTCGATCGTCATCCTCTGCTCGCAAGGAAGGTCATTCAGGTCAACATCTTTGGTGCCTCGAGCGTGATTGGCTAACTTCTTCTCCAGCTTCCAAGGGTCGATCCCCTTGATTGCCCTGCCCGTGGGGCAGGAGAGAAGGTTGAGTTTGGGAGGATCCCTCCACAGCTTGTCGCCGCGTGTTGGACCTCGAACGGGCTGGTGGGCGTCGATTGTTGTGCTCGTCTCGCGACCGCTCCCGAACTCGAGCTCTTTGTGGACCCAAGCGAGCATTGACATTGGACTGTGGGCCTAGCCTCTCGAGCACATTGGTCCTGGGACCTAACCTCAAACGGCTCAGAGTACGGCTCGCAGCTATCTGCGTCTCGTCTGCATGATCTCACTCTCTCCCTGCCGGTTTGCCCCTGTCTGACCAGCCTAGGACCTCTCGAATTGCTCACCAGCATGCTCGTGTGCCCTCCTCTCCTTGTCACGAGGTCCAAGGTTGGGGCCTTGATTCAAGTTGATTTGCCTGAGTAGCTAGCCAATCAGGTTTTTTGATCATCGACCTTCTGTGTGAGTTGATCAACCCATGAGTTAAGGTCCACCTGACTGCGCGGGTCAAGTAGAGTGTTGTGCATCAGGCCTAACGGCAGATGGGCTAGAGCTCCATTAGACGCGTACACGGGTGCATATGTCAAGTGTGATCGCAGAGGAGGGAGAGAATGGATCTGCTCCAAGACTGGGACAACGTCGGACTAGTCGTAGGGCTATGCAGCAAGTCCGGTAGTTGAGTGGTGTGGCTGCTGTTGTGGTCCGACGGCAAGACAGCGAGGCAGAGCAGCTCCGATGATCGGCGCTAGGGACTGCAAGGTTATGGAGGTCCTGGGGTCATGCGGCGGCTATTCTGCAATTCCAGCAGCTGAAGGCGGCTGTAGAGCACTAGAAGGCGACTGCAAAGCACTAGAAGATGGCTGCAAGGCATTGGCAGCCATGATTATGTGCGGTTGCATTGAGGTTTCTACCACGAAACCATGAGATGGGCCCGTCATGGTGGCGTTACTCTTCGTACGTCTTGTATCAACCATGGTTGTTTGAAAAAATGTGTGAAAGATGGATTTGGAGCATGCTTTGAATATATCTCGTGCTCACAATGAAAGCACCAATTTGTGGGAGCAAATTTCGTCCCACTAGAATATTCGTCTAAGATTCCTTCGTCTTCTCCACTTCTCTTTCTCCCTGCAAAACAAATCGGGGTAAAAGGACCACACCCGGGGGATGTTGGCCAAAGGCCCTCCGATGCCTAAGTTAGGTAGGGTATTTCAAGGAAAACAGGGTGGCCGGAGCCATGTGTGGTGGCTGGAGCCTTGTGTCAGAGAGAGAAAGAAAGTGGTGGCTAGGGTTTGTGAGAAATAATTTCTACAGAGTTTCAGTAGGAATTTAGACGTACCTTCACTCTTGTGTGTGCCCATCTTTTTATAGTGGTCTCGGAGGCTAGGGTTTCAGATGAATAATTCCATAGTTGGTAAGGAATTATTCCTCCCCGATTTGGCATTGATTTGATTTATTAGGGTAAGTCAAATCCCTAATTGTGGTAGGAATCAAATCAAATCTCAATTTAATTGGGTAACCCCCAATTAAATTGAGTAACTCCCAATTAGGTTGAGTAATTCCCAATTAGGTCAAATAATCCCTAAATGGAAGGAATTATTTGACCTAGGGTTTTGATTTAATTGGTTCCCACAAGAATCAAGAATTGGGTTTCCTTCAAGATTTAAAACATCAGCTGCTGTCATGATTGCAGATTTTATCGCAGTCGGAGACCAGTCAGGGTGCGCACTCTTGATCAAAGCTGCAATGCCACTTGTATTTGATCCCTCTTTGATTTGATTGTTGCCATAATGTTACAAAGTAGAATCATGTGATTTCTGTCATAAGATTACAAATTAGCAGGGAAGATCAGTCTGCAATTGGAGAAGCCAGTACACCATATCCATATGTATGGTCATTTCTTTCTTTCATAGGACAGCACATTTAGTTACTAAAAGTTGACAAATTTGCATAGTACTCAACCTGTCTTGGGAGCCTATCTTAATTTGGCAGATTCAAATTTTGGTCTTCACTCAAGGCTTGGTTATCTGATATATGAGTAACACTTAAGGTCAATTGGCATTTTTGATTTATTTCATTTGATTTCTTAAGAGGAACAACCAGAACAGACTGTCCAAATGAATTCAAGTGCTTCCCCTTTACTTGGTCAAGATATAAGTGCACACGAACTTTTCTTCTTTTAATTTTTTCTAACTATACAGTAAAACATATTTATATTAGAAGGATGCATACATATTGCTATCACTTTCTGGGATACATATAGAGGTTGCTGTAGAGTTTAAACTGAACTTTTCTAAGGTGTGAGTAGCAGCATCCTATCGTCGTTTTTGAATGCGACAAAAATTGGGCTACTAACACCATGTTCAGCAGAAATCCATTGCAGGGAGCCTCGAGCAAATAACTTATGGCCAGCACTCTGACTATAGCCCTCATCATCTAGGCTGAAAGTCACTTTGTAAGTTGCTGTCTGTTTCAGCTTGGTGAACACAATCTCCTCAGGCTTTACTTGAATGCTTACTCCCTCTGGAGAAACAACCTTCACAGTGTAATTTGATGAAGCTGAGCCAACATTAGTTCAGCTGTGACTCAGGTATGCTTTTTATCTTTAAGCAGTTCACTGCTTTTTGTGTTATTGCTTCTACCTCTTTGTCATTGTACTTGAAACCGCACAAATAAGGAATGTAATCGTCTGGTTGGATGTCGTAGACAAGCCCCAGATCGTTTGCTTTGGAGGGGTTAACATGGCCTGCACCAGTGGCAAAGAGTTCAGCTGGAACATAATTGTAGTCAAGAATGGGCTTGTCTTCATGATCTAGTACATCGGCAGTTGTCATCATTGCAGACTGAATAGCAGCTGGTGACCAGTCAGGGTGTGAGCTCTTGAGCAACGCTGCTGTACCAGTCAGACGAGGACATGACATTGAGGTACCTGAACTCACCGAAAATGATGAGTCAGACGGACAGGCTCCAAGAATATTTCCTCCAGGTCCAATAATGTCCGGTTTCAGAATCCTGGGGCTTGCTGCATATGGACCTCTTGAAGAAAAGGAAAGCACAATGGGAGAAGATGAGTTTCCTGTTTGAGTTCCTTTGTATAAGATTGTGGCAGTAGGTGTTGAGGTTGAATTTATATAAGCCTTGATTTGCAACCCTGCTGCATAAGTCACATGTGTTGCAGGTAGCACATGAGTTTCTGCCGAGATAGTATAGCCATCAAGCTTTTCATTTATTGAGAATCATGGCAACCCCTCCATATTTCTTCACTTTTGCCCCTCTAGCAATGCCAGCTTCCCCTCCACGTCCCTGACATAGCACTACCTTTCCTTTCACCATGTCCCTGACATTTGCCAACGTTCCCTGATTGCAGAATTCAGATAACGTGTGGTTGCTTGTGGTGGGGTATACAAGAGGTGGCAATGTTGTTGGATTCAACAAACCAAGAGGCTGGTAAAGGGATTCACCTTCAAATTCTTCTCCATTTCCAAACCGCGCCACGGCTCTGAAACTCCTATCAATGGTGCTTGCTCCAACAGTAAGGATCCATGGAGCTGCATTTTGCACTGTACCATTGAATGGACCAAGATTCACAGGCAAAGCACTCCCGAGGATACCCTTTTGGATTGCCGTTATATCATTTACCAAAGATGGGATTGGACCAGCGCCAAAGGAGAAGCTGAGCAGATCAACACCACCCTCAATTGCTGCATCAAAGCCCGCCAGTATGTTACTACATACTATGGTTTTTAATATAGCCGGGCGGCTATACTTAGTATAGCCTTTTTGTCACATGGCAAACCGGGCGCTAGGCGCTGGGCTAGGCGGGTGGACTTTTTTTAATTATAAATAGTATAGCCACGCGGATATACTCGGGATTATTTTTAATAAAAAGAGTATAGTCCTAGCTCCTGTTTCACCACGTGTTCAAAAGAATATAGCCATGCGGCGATATTATTTTTAATTAAAAAATAGTATAGTGCGCGGCTATGCTACTGTTTTTTTATTGTACAAAAATAGTATAGCCTGTGGCGAACCGGGCGCTAGGCGTCAGGCAGGTCGGGTGGTCCTTTTTTTTTAATTGTAAATACGGCTATACTATTCTATTGCTTTTGCCTGCTTTGCTGTCATTCTTGCCGCAAACCCGGTGACCACATTTCGATATGAATGAACCAGGTATGGATTCGGGTTCACGGTTTCTGTCTCCGTGGGCAAATGACTGGTGCCAGCTTTGTAAGTCTTGCAATTCTGAAAAATCTCTGTCATGTGGCTTTTTAAGGTGAACAATGTAGGTTGCTAAAGTACTTGGAGATGGGGATTCTATTACCTGTGTTGAACAGATTTATGAGAAGGAAAGGATGATTAGAAGAATAAGAACTTCCACAAATGACAGCAAAACACACATTTTGTTTTCTGTTCTTGTAGGTATATCTTGGCTCTTACCTTCTGTAATTTAGTACTCGAAATTTACTTCAACTTGGTATTCCGATTTCGAATAAGTACTGTCGATTTTAACTTTAGTTTGTGTCAATCTATACTTTTCAATTTCATTGATGCTGTTCTTACTGTCACTCCTGTTAACTTCAATGGAAGAAAAAAGAGCTAATTAACCTAAATTATATGTCAAGTTATATGGATTCAACCCATTTGTAGGCATGGTAGCTTGTTTCTCTTATGCCAAGGGACATTGCTTGTTGCAATGGAGCAAGCGGTTTTGGCAAAAGTCATCTTTCTTGAAGCAACTCTATTAGTAATTTTTTATTTATAGGTGAAAAGGTTTTCATGATGAGAATATAATAAATAAAATAGTTGTAAAATATTCAACCAAGACCCTTCGAGTGAAAGAAAGAAACAATGTGTACTTTTATCTCTTAATAAAATTAGTGCCTATCACCGTTTGATTTTAGGATTATCATTGGACTCTTTACTTTTTGTTTGTAGAAAAGTCACTTAGAATCTTGATTAAGATGGGAGGCTTTTTTTTCTTTTGGTTAAATGGCAGGCCTAAGCCGACAACAAACTCAACTAACAAGGAATGACCCTGGGCTGAGCCCTGACTAAAACATCAGTAGCCAAAATGTTAGTAATAGGAGGGGAGGTGCGAAGGCTTCCGGGGTTATGCAATTGACGTTCATTCTTTAATAAAGAATGGACGGTCGATGTGCCTATCGATATTGAGTCGATATTATTGTACCAACAAAATTTACTACATTTTCAAAGAAATCAATGCAAAAAACTTGATTTGAGGTCTATGCACAACAATTATCGATGGAGAAACTCTTTGTATGATTTTAAATCGTCTGTATTAAGCACGATATAGTGAAACATTTTCCCAAGAGAACTATAAATTGTTTCAAGTGTTTTACTAGGACTAAATGGGTTGGGTGAGGTTGACCCTAGTTTGTTAAGCCCAAATAATGTGATTATGTGAGGCTGACCCTAAAACATGTGGTCATGTGATTATGTAAGTAGTGTGAACTGTTGAGTATATATTGAGTCCATCTAGACTATATAAAACAACTATAAAGAGTCTCATTATTGATTAATCTTTTACCATTATTACGAGTGACGTCCTTAGTGTTGTTTTGGTCAAGACGTCCTTTTTTGTTGTTCATACAATTGATATTGGGGAATGTAAGAATCGATAACTTAGGACCTCATGTGCAAATGTAAATATTCTTAACTATCTTAGATACGCCTTGCGGTCAAAACATCCTTGAGATACACCTTGTCGTCAAAACGTCCTTGGGTTATGATAAAATCCGATTAAAATTGAGCCACATTGGCCAAATGATTAAACTTATGTCCTCAGGCTATTTACAAGTTTGTTTTGTTAATAGACAGTAGGGGTGGGCATTTAAACTGGAAAACAGAGCCGAATTAAGCCGAAAAAACAAGAAAAAAATTGGGTTGACCAAAAATCAAACCGAACCGATTTAGTTCGATTCTGGTTCTTGTAGTGAAAAAACTGAATCCACTGTGTATTTTTATTTTTTCAATAAAATATTTAGGCAAAATTGTAGTAATGGTTCTTGTTTATTTTGGATTTGCTAGCTTCTTGGTCAGGTGTATTGATCTACTAAGAGAAATTGGTCACTTCCTATAGCTATGTGTTTGTGTATTGGCAAAATTGTAGCTATGGGTTGGGATTTTGGTTTGTTGGGGAGATTAATCATTTCTCTCTCTCTCTCTCTCTCTCTCTCTCTCTCTCTCTTTTGCGGGTTCAGGGTTTGGTGAGGGGGGTGGGGGGGGAAGAGAAATTAAGGGGGGAAGAAATCGGGGCTGTGGAGTGGGGGGAAGAGAAATTAGGGGGGCAAGAAATCGGGGTTGTGGAGAGAGAGAGAGAGAGAGAGAGAGAGAGAGAGAGAGAGAATTGATTTATTTTTTAAATTTTTTGTGTGAAAAGACATTTTTGGCTATGCCAAGTAGGACTTGTCATTTCCATGTCATCATTTTTAACAGAAAAATTGACTGAGATGATGGAAAAGATGATTTCTCAAAGTGGAGGCATAATTAAAGTATCACCGTAACAATTTAACAATATGAGGGACGAAAAGTAAAGTTTGGTCTTAGTCCAGGGACCATTGCTACATTTTTGCCAAATATTTAATTCCAATGCTAAATTTCTAAGCTCATAACTAATATTTCTCCAAACACAACTCCAAATCACCTCTCTTTTTTAGGCCAAAGCACCTCCCCTTGCATGAAATTGGGCCATTTGTGAATTTTTAAGCCCATTTTTAAGCCCAAAATATAAAATTTTAGTTGAGTTTTATTATAAAAAATTCAAAAAATTCAAAAAATAGAAAAAAGATTATGGTCCAAAACCCAAAAAATGGAAACTGAACTGATTTATGGGCAAACTAGACAGAAATGGTTTTATAATTTTTTTCATTAAAATCAGACCGAATCAGACTAAATGAATAGTGCCTATTCTTATTCCAATTTCAGGTGAGAACCGGACCGTACCCAACCCTAACGAACATTGGATTAAACTTAGGGTGATTTTATTGACACCACAAAATTTGCTCTTTGCACCCCACATTCTCTTTACACCCCACTGAATTTTAGTAAAATTTAAAATTACTCACTACACCCCATTTTTCTTCCTAAATTGCCCTCATGAACCTCATTCCTTAACTTACATGTGTAAATCTCACCGAAATCTATCTTGTTTCAGTGTTAGTCCACCGAATTTATTTCCGTTTTTCAGTGGCTGTCAACAGAATGTGTTTTCGTTTTTTAGTGGTAGTCCACCGATTCTATTTCAATTTTTTAGTGGTAGTCCACCGAATTTGTTTCTGATTTTCAGTGGTAGTCTACCAAATTCGTTATTGAGTTTGTACTTAATATTGTTTTTTAGATATGAAGAGGACTCGCAGAGGTACTACTGAGGCTTCATCATCTTGACCTAATAGACAACGTCCCACAACCTCAACAAGGAGACATAAAGCGGTGAGGTTAGGCCCTCAAGAGGACCAGCCCCAACATGGTCCCCCATACCACTTTAAGAATACTACAGAGGTTGAAGATGTAGCTACTACTCATGATAGTAATGTTGAGGCAGATGTCGAGTCTACTGAGCCATCTTGAGTAGGTGTAGGTCCCATTAATCCATCTTTATTTACGAGTTTTAAAACTCACGTAGCAGCTGCAATTTGGAATAACCAGGTAAGTCGTTTTACTGTAACAATGGAAAGCAAAATATAAGTCTAGTTCATGGTAATTAACCTAAATATTTTATTTGTATTTGACTAGGAACCCCTTAGGTGCATGTCGAAGACATCTACCCTTCGTGAGTGGAATTGGTGGGCTAATCCAAATAATAGTATTATTCAAAGGGTACATTAAGAGGTTTGAATTAGAGCAACTTATTAGGTGTTCTTATCAGAATGCAGATAAGATTGTTGTATCTAGCTTCGTTGAAGGGTGGCATCCCGAAATGAACATCTTTCACATGTCTTTTGGTGAGATGACCATCACATTGGATGATGTGTCATCTATTTTAAGGGCGTCACCTTGTTTTTGTTCCTTCAATGGGAGTAAGGTCAAAATAGCTTACATTAAATTTGTGGTCGACAATAAGTTACTGAAAAATAAATATATTCAGTTCGTTGACACTGAATTGTAGGTAAAAATTCAATAATACACTACCGAACACCGTTCCATGTTATGGTGGATCTCCACTGCATCTTAAGTTAACGACCGGTCAAACACAATCGAAATAGGTGCAATGTTTCGGTGGCATCCCACTAAATTTACCTATTCAGTACTGAGCGCGACTAACGACCATCATGAAATCCTAAACTTGAAAAACGCCAAAAATAAACTCATACCTCATTCGAAGCCCCTCTAACTTCAGTCTCACCCTTCATGAATAAATATAAGACATTGTTTCACCAATATAAGCGTATAAACCTCATTAGGGTTGTAAGAACATGATGGTTTAAGAAAAAAGTTTAACTAGGGTTGTAGGAACATATGTGGAGTATAGTGAGCAAATTTAATTTTTATTTTAAATATTTTTTATCCTTAATGGCAATTATGTACAATGGTAAAATAGATTATTCATATTTAAAATTAGTACAGGGTGCAAAGAGCAAATAATAGGGTGCCATAACTAGTTGGTGGCTCTTTTTACGACTATCACATAATCCACTCCATAATCCTTTGGTTCCAGGATTTGTTGGTTGAAAAAATTAGTAGACTTCAAATTCACCCGAAAATTTAATCAGTACACCCGGGCTCAAAAAAAGAAAGAACAAGAAGAACAAGAAGAATTCTCATTTCCTAAAAACCCAGCACAACTACCACATAAAACACTCTAACCCCTACTCTGAACTCTGAAGCCAAGGAGACGGATGGGGCAGACGCCATAGGAGTGCATGGAAGTCCATTAGTCTTCAGAACACTGCATTATGGAAGATTGGATTCTGAAACCCAATTGTCAATTCAAGGTATGTATCCTATTAAACCTTGCAGACTTGGCTTGAAGCACCTATAAGTTTGTCTATTGGGCTGGTTAGAAAATCCCCAAATTTTCAGTTACCATGTAAACCACTAATTTATATATTGGTTGATGCCATTAATATATTAATATTAGTGCTTGCCTCCACAACTAGCTCTATCTGGGAAAATAACATTAAAGAACTCTGTTTTCTTTTTGGTTGAAACATTATATAAGAAATGGTTGGCCTCACAATCACAATCAGAATCCTACACACACACACAGACATTGGTATGGAGGGGATTGCAAGTTAAAGATCAAATCTTGAAGACTACAATGGCACCAATGGAGTAGTACTTATTTTTGGTTTCAATTTCTTCTGTTATTCTCTGCAAGCTTGTGACATTTTCTTCTGGGCCCAAGTTTTAAGTTCATTGAGTGCTGAAGGTAGCAACTATTCGGGTGGTAACAGAATGTTTATCAGAAACCCATCTCAAATATCCCTCAGCAAATGGGACACCGTCCTTCCCAGCATCGTCGTGTGCGTTGAACTCGACATGGTAGGTAATTTTCTGGTTAACCTCTGTGAATGTGAGCACCTGAGGATTTACACTCATGCCCACTTTAGGTGGTACTACAAGAGCCAATTCGTAAGTTGAATTAGCTGGGCCAACATTTGTCACCGTTCTTGTGTAATACTGAGTCCGAGTCTCTGAGGACCCGGTTTTGATAGAAAATGTGGGATAATTTAGCTGTGCTTCTGGTACGGCTCCTACTTGAG